TGCGCCCAAACCCCAGCGGGCAGGTGAGGGGCAGGAGGGCCTTTCTTCCCAGTCCCAGACACAGGAGCCCCACACGGCCCTTCTGGAGAAAGGCAGGAGAAATGACTGAGAGCTCAGCCCACCCCGACCAGAGCAAGGGCCACTGGGCGCTGGCAGCCCGTCTGGCTCTCCCCATCCTTGGGGCACCCACCCGGTCACAGTGAGACACTGCACAAGGCTGAGGATAGGCCGTCGAAGATGTCTGAGATGACGCTGCTAGCGCTGCTCCTTCCGCTCCGGCTGCCAGAGCTCATGACCTGGGCTAGGGACACAGCACAGGACTAGGCCCAGCCTCCCAGCCACCTGGCTAGGGTAAGGCACAGGCACTGGGGTGTCTATAAACGGGGTTCCCCACTCTGTCCCAGAGTGCTACAGGGTTCAGAGATGACATGTAAGTACACGGCACAGCCTCTGGCAACAGGTGCTCCAAGACGGCAGCCACAGGTGTGGCTCACACCCCCAGCCCTGGATGGCCTTCCCTCCGCCGCCCCCGAACCTTTCTTCAGAAACATAGGACGGCCCATCCTCACGGGGCTGGCCAGAGGAGGCTGCTGGACAGCTTGGCGTGGCCTCGTGGTGGACCGGGCTGCAGGGGCGGGAGAGGCTGCGCAGTGGGCATCGTTGTCCGGCTCTGGGGCAGAGAGGGACTCTGCTGCGCCAGGGCATCCAGGCGGGGGTCCCAAACAGCTCCATGACCTTGGCAGGAAGAGGACTGCCAGCACCTCCTAACAGGATGAAGGCTGAACCAACGTGTTCCTTTCCTGTGCCCGCCCTGGCCCCAACAGACACCTCCAGAACAGAGCTGTCCTTTTGTTTTCCAACTGACGGCTCAGGGCCAGGGCGGGCTGTCGGTCAGCTAACGTGAACCTGGTCATGCGGCCGCTCCGTGGCTGACTCCCCACTGCGAGGCAGGTGGAAGAACCCACCCCCCAGGTGGGCTACGCGTGTCGGTGCGTGGCACACAGAAGGGGACTAGGCAGACGGGCTGTGATTTCTCCCAGCAGCCCTTGGCACCTGATACCTGCGTTCGGCAGGGCTCGTGGATGTGGTGACGGTGGCTGTGCCTCGGGGGGCTGATCGTCAAGGGCAGCCATGGCCGTGTCCACGTCGGCGTCCTCGTCCACTTGCTCCGAGCTGGTGCGCTGCTGGCCCAGGAGAACTTGCGGTCCTTCATCCGCTCCTTCTCGGAGATGGCGCGGCCCGCCTCGTCTGGGATCAGGCTCGCCTCGGCCTGCGAGCCCCCCGCCACGCCCTGCCCGTCGCCCTCACCCCGGTCGCTGCTCGAGTCACAGGACAGGAACTCGTCCTCTGACGGGCCTCCGGTCGCCCTCCCGTTCTCATCCGGTGTCACTCGAGTCTGAGTCCCGAGCTCTGTCAGTGTGCGCGGGCCACCACGCGCTCTTTGAGCTCACTCATGGTTGCTGCCAGAAGGTGGGCACCAAGCTGACCTTCAACCTCACAGGTGTCCACCACAGTGGAGACATTCCAGGACCTGTCACTGCCCATTCCTGGTAAGGAGGACCTGGCCAAACTCCACTCTGCCATCTACCAGAATGTGCCGGCCAAGCCAGGAACCTGTGGGGACAGCTATGCTGCCCAGGGCTGGCTGGCCTTCATCATGGAGTACATCCGCCGGTACGCATGCCTTCCTGCCAGCTGGGGACATGAGCTGGCCCTCTCCTGGTTTTCCTGGGCTGGAGACAGACTACGCAGTGAAATCCCAGCGTTTTCAGGGTCCAGGAAGAGTCTGGAGGAGCTGGAGGCGAAGCTGGGGGGGGGGGAGTTTACTAGATGTCAGGGGTGGGGCTCCTTGGCCGTTTGGGGGAGGCCAGGATTAGATGGTCCCTCGGAGCTGAAGGGCAGTGACAGTGGGGAGGTGACCATGTGGCGGGCAGGAAGGCAGCAGCAAGATGCAGGCCTGGCCCGTGGAAGGGCAGCTGCAGCTTTCTAGGGGGTGCCTTGCCTGCCTGATGCCAGAGGTCTGCTGTCACAGGTGGCAAGTCCAGGGTCAGGGAAAGGGGACGTCACTCGCCCAAGGACACAGAGTTGTCTGGCTCCAAGCCTCTGCCCCCACCCGCCATGCCAGGCCACCTTTCTGGGCCTTCAGGGTCCTTTTGGGGCTCAGACCTGAACAGCCCTGGCAGCACCTGGCTCCCTTTTCTGTCTCTGTAGGTTTGTGGTATCCTGTACTCCCAGCTGGTTTTGGGGGCCTGTCGTCACTCTGGAAGACTGCCTCGCCGCCTTCTTTGCCGCTGATGAGCTGAAGGGTGAGTGGCCTGGTTGGTTTGGGGGGTGTGCTGGGGGGTCACGTGCAGGCAGGTGTGTAGCCCAGGGCTTGTAGGTCGCTCAGCTGGACTTTGCTTCCAGAGTTAGACTCTCACTCCTGCTGCCTGCCAGGCTGGGACTCTGTGTTCTCCCAGTCCCACCGCCTGGTGATTCTTGGGTGTTAAACTATTTTTTTTTTTTTTTTAACCAATTTGGTGGATAAAAATTATGTGCTTAAATTTTGCGTTCCTTGATTATTGCTGAGTTTAACACTTTTTGTTAAGTGTAGTGACTGTTTGTATTTCTTTTCTTTTTTCTTTTTTTTTGAAACAGAGTCTCGCTCTGTCACCCAGGCTAGAGTGCTGTGGCATCAGCCTAGCTCACAGCAACCTCAAACTCCTGGGCTCAAGCAATCCTCCTGCCTCAGCCTCCCAAGTAGTGGGGACTACAGGCACCACCTCTGTGCCCGGCTAATTTTTTCTATTTTTGGTAGAGATGGGTCTCGCTCTTGCTTAGTCTGGTTTCAAACTCCTGACCTTGAGTGATCCTCCCGCCTCGGCCTCCCAGAGTGCTAGGATTACAGGCGTGAGCCACCGCGCCCAGTCAATTTTTCATGTTATTTTTAACATATAACGTGTATGGTTCAGTGACATCAAGTACATCCACATTGTTGTGCAACCATGAGTACCATCCATCTCCAGAACTTTTTCATCTTACAAAACTGAAACTTTGTATCTGTTAAACAGCTGCCTACTTTCGCCTCCCCTCCTCCCAGGCACCAGTCATTCTGCTATGTCTCTGTGACTTCGGCTACTCCAGATGCCCTGGGAGTGAGATGATGCAATACTTGTCTTTTTGTAACTTCTTTTACTGAGTATGATGTCCTCCCTCAAGGTTTATCCACATTGTAGCATGTGTCAGAATTTTGTTTTTTAAGCTGGATAATATTCTATTGTATGGCGGTACCACGTTTTGTCTGTACTTCCATCCATCAACCAACACCTTAGGTTGCTTGCACGTTTTAGCTGTTGTGAATGATGCTGCTGTGAACATGAGTGTGTAAATATCTCTTCTCTCAGCCCTTGTGGTTTGTACCAAGACCTGGAGTTTTAAGGTCCCATGGCAGTTCTGTCTTTAATTCTTGAGGAACCACCATACCGCCTTCCACAGCAGCCGCCCCACATTGCGATCCTGCTGACAGCGTACAGGGTTCCAGTTTACCCTGACCTCATCAACGGTTGCTGTGTGCTGGGAGTTACTGGGCAGTAGCCATGCTGATGGGCGCGAGGGGGCGTGTCACCGTGGCCTTGATTATCAGTTCCCTAACTCATAGTCATGTTGAACACCCTCCATGTGCATATTGGCCGTTCGTATACCTTCTTTGGAATAATGTCTATTTCAAATCCTTTGTGATCAGGTTATTTTGGTGTTTGGGTTGCAGGAGTTCTTTATATAGTCTAGATAGTGACACCTTATCAGATATATAATTTGTAAATATGCTCCCCCATTCTGTAGGTTGCTTTTCATTCTGTCAGTTGTGCCCTTTGAGTCACAGAGTTTTGGATTTTGATGTCATCCAGTTTATCTACTTTTGCTTTTGTTTATTTATTTATTTATTTTTTTTTTCAGGGCTTCTTCTTCTTGGTATACTTTTGCTTTTGTAGCCTGTGCTTGTGGTGTTTATATCCAAGAAATCATTGCTAAATCCAATGTCATGAAGCTTTTTTCTGATTTGTCCTAAGAATTTTATAGCTTTAACTCTTACATTTAGATCTTTGATCCATTTTGAGTTTAATTTTTGTAGCTAGAGGTAAGGGGAAACTCTTTATACAGTAAGATTTTGGTCACATGTGGCGGCCACACCTGTAATCTCAGCACTTTGGCAGGCCGGGGCAGGAGGATCACTTGAGCCCAGGAGTCTGAGGCTGCAGTGAGCTATGATCATACTATTGTGCTCTAGCCTGGGCAGCAGAGCAAAACCCTGTTTTTCAAAAAAAAAAAGGATATTAACCACTTCAGTATGGCGCTCACTGGCTGCAAAACCTTGCCCACAGCCGGCACTCACAGTCCGCACGATAGCTTGTGCTGTGCATTGACGACGAATCCGTTTTGCTCTTGTGTGATGAGGAAAGCTTTAAAGCTTGTTTTACTTTACAGGCAACTTTACTTGTCATGTAAATCAGAATAGGTAACATATACATATATGTTTTCATTACGTTATTTTTATATGTTCACAATTTTATTTTGATAAATGAAAAATTAGAAAAGTCCTATCATGAGGCTGTCGCCTAAAGTCGACATGGCCGTGCATGACTCGGCCGTGCCCATTCATCTGTGGCTGTCAACTATAGTCGACACTCGTACCGAAGTGGTTAATACTTTTTTATCTTTGATGTTGCATTTCCCTTCCATTTTTGCCTTTTGTCTTTTAGTTTTGTTTTGGTGATATCTGTACAGGCATTGAAGTGTTTGTAGGATCAAATATATTTATTTTTTTCTTTATGGATTATGTCTTTGGGGTTCCAGCCCAGGCCTTCCCTCCCATACCTCTTGGGTTTCATTCCTTAAGCATAGATCATTATATTTGCTTTTTCTGCCCCCCATTTCCCTTCCCTGCTAACTTTTGACCCTTTGTGTTACCGCCCCAGGTGACAACATGTACAGCTGTGAGCGGTGCAAGAAGTGAGTGTGCATTCGGGCTTTTCCCGTGTCTCCCCTGGGTTCCCCCAGAAAGCATGGTTGGACTCCTAGCAGTGCCCAGGCGGGAGGGCTGCTCCCCGCCCCGGCACCCCTCGCCGACGCTGAGCCTTGCCCGCCCTCCCTCCCCAGGCTGCGGAATGGGGTGAAGTACTGCAAAGTCCTGCGGCTGCCCGAGGTGAGTGGGGGCCCTTCCGGCTCCTCCATGCCAACGTCTCACGGCGCCACGCTGGCTGGCAGTGCCGCCCCCTCACCACTCCAGAGCTGCCGTGCTAAGGGGCCCAAGGAGGGTCTGTGGCTTTGGCTGAGAGACCTCTTGGGAAGGGTGGCAGAGGGTGTTTTTCAATTTGTACTTGGTGCCCTCTTTCGATGTGGGCTCAGCATGTTTTGTGGGGACCCACCGGGAGGCAGGCGTGGGGCTGCTGAGGTGCCGCCTCACATAAGACAGGCGCAGGTTCCCGCTGCTAGCAGGGGACGGTCCCTCTCAGCAGCGGAGCCCGAAAGTGATCCATGTGGTTTAGAGTGAGCCTGGCATGGCTCCCACATTGAATTCTTTTGTTCTCATGGGGTCAGCTGGCCTCTGTACCAGGCTTCAAGTGCCAGGGTTCGTTTCTACCAGGTGACCCTGGCGTGACCAGCACCCTCCCCTCCTCCCCGCAGATCCTGTGTGTCCACTTGAAGCGCTTTCGGCACGAGGTGACGTACTCGTTCAAGATCAACAGCCACGTCTCCTTCCCCCTCGAGGGGCTCGACCTGCGCCCCTTTCTGGCCAAGGAGTGCACGTCCCAGATCACCACCTACGACCTCTTCTCAGTCATCTGCCACCACGGCACAGCAGGCAGTTAGTGGCACCTCCTCCCCCGCCCTCCCCACCTCCCAGGGTCCCTGTAACACGCCTGCTCTGTGCTGCAGGTGGGCACTACATCGCCTACTGCCAGAACGTGATCAATGGGCAGTGGTACGAGTTCGACGACCAGTACGTCACCGAGGTCCACGAGACGGTGGTGCAGAACGTCGAGGGCTACGTGCTCTTCTACAGGTGGGTGCTGGGCAGGTCTGCGAGGGACAGCAGCCGCCCCAATCCCCTGGGACCTGTGGGCCTGGACGTCCTGCCATTGCTTTCAGGGCCTTCCCCTGCGTGTGGGGGGTGGAGGGGCCCGGAAGGGTTTGAGCTGAGGGTGGAGTATGGATTTGGGTTTTTAAGAAAGAGCCCTCTGGCTGCTGTGGGGAACCCAAGGAGGCAGGGTTGGGCCTTCTTCGGGGTCCCGGGGCACAGGGTGGGGACAATCACCAGGGGGTTCAAGAGGTGCTGGGCGGGTACACTGGGGTGGGCAGCAGCCTTGGCACAGCGGCTCCCCCCGCCCAGGAAGAGCAGCGAGGAGGCGGTGCGCGAGCGGCAGCAGGTGGTGTCCCTGGCCGCCATGCGGGAGCCCAGCCTGCTGCGGTTCTACGTGTCCCGAGAGTGGCTCAACAAGTTCAACACCTTCACTGAGCCGGGGCCCATCACCAACCAGACCTTCCTCTGCTCCCACGGAGGTGAGGCGGCCTTCCTGTGGGGGCGCATGGCAGGCGTGGGGGCATGCAAGCCCTAGCCCTCCCTGCTGTGCTCCCTTCCCAGGCATCCCACCCAACAAGTACCACTACATTGACGACCTGGTCGTCATCCTGCCGCAGAACGTCTGGGAGCACCTCTACAACAGGTAAGGTGCCCGCGAGGCCAGACTGCATCAGTCCTGGCTGGGGCCCAGCTGAGCGGGGAAGGAGCAGAGAGGAATGCCGCCAGGACCTCATGAGGTCTCCCCTCAGGCAGAAGCAGCCCCTGCCTCCAGGTGTCTCATGGAAGACATGTCACTTGTGGGAATCCAGTAGGACCCTTCCAGTCACAAGGGACAGGAAAGCACGCGTATGAGCCTATTGCATGGAAAGCCTGGGGCGCTGGCTGCAGGGCAGGGGCTGGCAGGGGCCAGGTCTCTCTCCTCTACCTCGTGCCTGGCTCAGGTGGCTGTTGGCTTGGGCTGCAGGATGGGGCAGCTACTCTAGCCTGGGGGCTTCCAGGTTGAAGTCTGTCAAGACCAAGGGCTCTCGCATCACGCACCAACCCAGGCCTGGGTCACTCTGCAACTGGGGGGTTGGGTCTGTCACAGCCCAGCATGTGGTCCTACAGGCTGAGGGGGGCCAACTGCATCTCCCCGGAGTGGCCCTGCTGCACCCAGTTGCAAGTCAGGAGCAGCCTTCTCCTGGCCCAGCTGCCAGTGAGTGGGTCAGACATTCTGGGAAATGCACCCCCAAATCCTGTGGGGGTCCTCCAGGCTTGGGACACTTACTCACCTACCTGCAGCCTCCCTGTGATGTTGTGCTCAGGGTCTGGTGGGGCAGCTCTCGGCCAGCGTGGCTCTGCCCAGTGGCCAGCAGATGTGGCGAGAGCACTTGTCTGCCCTCCAGCCATGCGGCATGTGCCCTGCTGGGCCCCGTGCAGCTCTGTGAGCTCACGGCCTCGGCCTCGTGAGGACGACAGGCAAGCAGCACACAGGCCCGAAGGGCGCCGATGGTGGGGCAGGAGCTGCTGCCAAGTGGAGGGTGGGGATCGCTCTCCGGTCCTGCCTCCTCCCCTTGAGGGCCTCCCTTCAGGGCTTGTTTCTCTCCCTCCCGCCCTGGGTGCAGGTTTGGGGGCGGCCCCGCCGTGAACCACCTGTACGTGTGCTCCATCTGCCAGGTGGAGATTGAGGCGCTGGCCAAGCGCAGGAGGACAGAGATCGACACCTTCATCAAGGTGCACACGGGAGGGCGGCTTTTGGGGACGTGTGGGGACTTGGGGACAAAAGAGCTCTGAGTAGTCAGACTGTGTTTGGAACACGTGTTGTAGGCGAGTAGACTCAGACGTTTAAGAGGACTTTTCCAGGGTTTGGCAAGTGAAGGCCATCACTTGGCACCTAGGGAAGGAACAGAGTAGATGTGTCCGGTCTTCAACCTTGGCTCCGTTATTCTAGGCTAGTAATTCCTTATTATGGGCTGTCCCGTGTTGTAGATTATTTAGCAGTGTCCCTGGCCTCTACCCACTAGATGCCAGTGACAACCAAAATGATCTCTAGACATTGCCACGGGTCCCCTGGGGGGTAGAGTCGCCCTGGTTGAGAACCACCGGGCTCTACCGACGGGTGTGGGAAGGTGCCCAGGATAAGCTGTGAGTGAAGACAGCAAGTTACGCAACAGGGCTCGGTGCAACCCCGTTGGGAGGAGGATTTCTGCGGCAGAAGCCATGTTTGAGGATGAGGCCAGGCTTACGCCCTCCCTGCGGTGCTGCTCTCACGGGGGCCTGTCGCTACAGTGGAGGGGGGTGGGGCGGGCGGGTGGGCCGAGGGGCCTGTGGGGCCTTCGCAGAAGCCAGGCCCCCGGATTGTCTGCTCAGCCCCCGGACCTAGACTCTCGCCCAACCCCAAGCCTGTGTCTCCTGCCTGAGATGGGCGGGGCAGAGGGTGGAGCCCGCGTCTGCTGGGTGGAGGCCGGGATGCTGCTGGCAGGCGCCACAGACCCGCGCTCTGTGGGCGTCGGGAAACCCATGCAAATAGTCAGTGATGTGAGCAAATGGCGCGTTCTTGTAAGTGGGGGAGATCGCGTCCTTCATGTGGCCTCATTTGGGTTAAACATTGTCAGAAAGATTCAGAGTGTCTCCAGCAGTGCTGTAGCGGCGGGATCCTTCATTGCCCGTGAACGTGTCTGGGAGCGCTGTTTTCTACCTTGAGTGTCGGATGTTCTTGTGGGGGCCCGCGGTGAGGGATTGGGGTGAGGTCCTTGGGAAATGCATGCTGAGGGCAAGGGGGAGGCTGACCCAGCCCGTTCCCTTCCGCCTGGCCCTGCGCAGCTGAACAAGGCGTTCCAGGCCGAGGAGTCCCCCGGCGTCATCTACTGCATCAGCATGCAGTGGTTCCGCGAGTGGGAGGCCTTCGTCAAGGGCAAGGACAGCGGTGAGTTGGCTGGGCCTGGTGCCTGCCCCCGGGAGGCCACGTGCTGGAAGATGGGGGGTGGTGTGAGGGGCTCTTGGGTCCTCTTGGGGTGCCTGGGGCCTGCGCCCCCTGCAGGGCTGAGCAGAGCGCACCTGTGCTCCTCCAGCCCCGAGGTGGGACCACCCGGCACCGGGGAGCCTGTGCAGGGATGAGAGGCCATTCCTGCTCTGCCCCGTCCCTCCCGGCTCCGCTCCCTGCAGGTGCCCGGGGCGGCCTGCGGTCATCTCGGGGCCTTTCCTAGGGGATTCCTTGCCCTAGATTGTAGGTTCCAGTTGACACATGGTTTCAGACTCTCAGGAAGTGACTTGGGCTGTGTCGTCTGACCCCTTGGGTTGACAGAGGCGGAAACAGGCCCCATCACAAGGGACCCCCAGGGTCCCCGAAGTCCCCAGCCAAGAGCAGCAGAGCCGAGCCTTGGCCGCCCACGGCTACCCTCGAGCCCCAGACTCGGCCTACAGACTGGGGCTTGGGCGGCCGGCAGGGCGGGCAGAGCCGGCGGGTTCCGCTCGCAGGGCGTTGACGGATGCGCATGCACGAGCCGACCAGGGTGCAGTTGCTGAGGATTAAACAGGACAGTGGGGTGCCGGGAATGGGCTCAGTGAGGGCAGGTGTCAGATGAGGACATCGCCACTCGCCACTGGCTCCCACTGCAACACACCGGGGCCTGAAACTGTCGTGTGTGTCCTAGAAATTCCCTCTGGGGGGTCCAAGGGTGCCTTGAGCGTGTGGTGCCCAGGTGCCACCCTGTTAAAGAGTTCGTGCTGACCCAGGGCCTGGGGCAGCCTCAGGCCCACGGGTGCTGGCGTCTCACCTGAGAATGGCTCTGCCTTGGGAGGGGAGGAGGGCCAGAGGCGCTGAGCCTGAGCTGCGTTTGTTCCAGAGCCCCCCGGGCCCATTGACAACAGCAGGATCGCGCAGGTCAAAGGCAGCGGCCACGTCCAGCTGAAGCAAGGTGAGCCTCACGGCCCCAGCCCTGGCCCCTCGGGCTCCCTCTGCCCTCTGGCTGCCGGGGAGCGGCCTCGTCCCCAGCCTGTCCTGGAGTCAGGCTGAGAGTCCAGGCCCCTCACCCCACCCCGCCTGTTCCACCAGCTGCTGGCTTTGCGTGCCCTACCCTTTGTCGACCCCACCCCTGGGAAACAAGGGACACAGCCAGAGTTGGGGCATCTAGGGCCTCTAAGGCAAAATGAATGTTTCTGGAAAGTTCTGAGACTTCCATTTGACAGCTTTGCATAGATGCCCTTGGTTGCCCTCCCACCCCTTTGGGGCCTGGCACTCTGGAGCCCCCTGCCCAGCTGCGCCACCTCTGCCCTGCAGGAGCTGACTACGGGCAGATTTCTGAGGAGACCTGGACCTACCTGAACAACCTGTATGGGGGTGGCCCCGAGATCGCCATCCGGCAGACTGTGGCCCAGCTGCAGGACCCGGAGAGCTTACACGGGGAGCAAAAGATCGAAGCCGAGACCCGCGCCATATGACTTGCGGGTCAGCCTGTACGTTGTCCTGCCCTCGCTCCTCCAGGGGACTCGGGTCCTCTCCTCCCTCTTCTGTCCCCTTAAGTGTCCAAAGAGCCTGTCCCGGAACACACCTTGCAGGAGGCTGGGAGGAAGCCTGGGCGTGGCAGCTGCGTGCGGGGTGCTCCCGCAGGCCCCGCGGCCCCTGCGCGGCGTGCACATGCACCGCAGACCCGGCCTCTCGAGGCCCGGTGCGGAGACGCGCGGGCAGTCGGCTTGGCGAGAGTGATGCTGTCGCTGGGAAACGTGCTCACTTCAGGCTTGTCTAAAGGACCAAGACCAATGACATTTATTTGGGTCTTTGTCCTGGCAGTGCCCACATCAGTCACTGTCACCACTGTGTCCCCCAAACCTGCCCTCTTGCAAGCTCGGGCCCAGCTTTTGATCCTGGAGCCCAATGCCACCCTCGGTCAGAGGCCGTGACTCGGGACAGAGTTGCCGCAGCTTTGCAGGCGTCGTCCCCAAAGAGGGACAGAGGGGCAGTCGGAGCTGGCACGGAGCACGAAAGCTGAAAGCTCCGGGCAGTGAGGGGCTTGCGCTTGTCCTTCCTGGTGGCCCCGCTTCACCCCTGCATCTCCTGCTCGTCACCAGAAAGGCACCTGACGTCCTGGTCACTCGCGCTTCCCTGCAGACTAAGACTCTGGACTCGGCGACTGGGACGCCAGTGGCTGGATTGTCAGTTTTGGAGGCAGTTCTGTCATCTGCCTCGCAGCTCAGCAGACCCCTCGCGTGGACTGTTTGCCAAGCCCCCACCAGGGCCCAGATGGCGACACAGAAATACCTCACACTGTTGGCGTTTGCTGCTAACGCAGCTTTCCCGGGGCATCGTGGTGAAGACGCTTCCCTTCCGCCCCACGTGGCCGCCCTGGGGGCTGAGCGCCACCAGCAGGTCCTTGGGAGCTCAGCTCTGGGACCTGCTGAGCACCCCAAGCCTGAGGCTTGTTCCCCGTGGCGTCCCAGCCCCCAGGGCGAGGTCCTCACCTTGTGGGTGGGGAAGGGGTCCTGGAGCCAAGCCCCCAGACTGCTGTGGCCTTTGTGCGGTGCCTGTTGCACTGTTGGCCCCGTGCAGGTTGCGCTGCCCCAGGTGTGCCAGGTCCAGCCTGTGCTCAGAATGTCATAATAAACACAGATGCGCCCTGCAGCCCGCACTGTTGCCTCCGCGCGCACTGCAGTCGACTGTCTCCGAGGGAAAAGTGAGGCTCCCCCACCGTGGGCGGGGGCAGGATAAGGGGCTTCTGTGCTCACAGGTCTGTGGGGCCGTGGTTGGCCATGTCGCAAATGACCTGTGTGGGATGGGCTCTGAGCAGGGCTTCCTGAAGCCAGGGCCAGTCTGGATGGAGGCCGCTGAGGCTGGGGCACGCGGAGGCCAGGCCACCTTTGACACTGTCGGCACCTTGGCTTTCCTGGAACCAGCTCCAGCCCAGAGGAGCAGGGCCAGCAGTGGCTGAAGCCAGCACATCCCCAGGCTGGCCCCCACTGGCCACCCAGACAGGTGGCTGTGTCCCTCCCAGGCCCCAGGCTCCTGGTGGGGGCGGCCCTTCCCACACCCCAGCGCTGGGGGCTCCCAGACGGCGGCGTCTCTAGTCCTGCCTTTTTCATTGGGTTTTTACTCCTCGAGCTTTTTTTGCAGGGTAGAAGAATTTGAGATTTTAGGCATTACATTAAAAACACTTGTAAAATGCCATCAGGTATGAGCACAGAGAAACATGTTCAACAGAAAGAATGAAAAGCTGGGTGACAAGGGCCTGTCCCCAGGGCCCTCCGGGTCAGTCTGCCCCTTGCCCCGCCCAGAGCTGTCTCCTTGCCCGCGCGTCACTCAGACCTCTTTTAGTTACAGTACGCGTGTGTCTCTACGCAGTATTTTTAGCTTCGCTCACATTTGAAGGTTACATACATATGAAGTGCCGTGGTGCATGTTTTGTGACTGGCTTTCTTGTTTAACACGGAAGATGAGAATGAATTTTGTCTGGAGGATTTATTTCGCAGGTTTGGAGACATTTCTTGCACGGTGGGAAGGTGGGAGAGAAGTAGGGACCCATCTGTCTCAGTGTTTCCATATACCTACCTGAGACACCTGGCTTCTAGGGCTCGGTCCGAGTTAGGTGCTGGAGTCTGGTGGGTCACCTCAGACAAGCGGGGCAGGAAACGCTCTGTCCCCGTGCGCTGCTCTGTGGCTGGGCGTGGCGCCGGCCATGAGGGGCCGAGAAGCCACCCTGCAGCGTGGGTGGGGGCATCTGCAGCCGAGCTGCCGCTGTGGCTGCCAGCCCCTCCGCCTGCCTGTGGTTCTCACAAACCTGCCCCGGAAAATGCATTTGCAAGGTGCAGCTGCCCGGAAAGAGTGGTCTCCTACCTTGGTTTGCGTGCAAATTCAGTGCCCACGCAAATCATCCCGAGCATCTCACACTGCCTCGTTCTGGGGGTAGTGAGCGGGCTTTGGGGGGGTCGCACCTCTGTCTGGCTGGTCCCTGCTACAGCTTCACCTACTGAGGCACAAACTTCGCTGCAGCCAGGGTGAGATGGGTGCGTAGGAAATTTCTTTTTTTTAAGAGAGACTATCTTGCTCTGTCGCCCAGGCTAGAGTGCAGTGGCGCGATCAGAGCTCACTACAGCCTCCACCTCCTGGCCTTGATCAAGCCATCCTCCCTGCTCAGCCTGGGACTATGGGCAGCTCCAGTGCAGGAGAAATTAACGCCTGTGGGGAAAGCTGTGAAAAAGCAGCAAACGTGGGCAAATTATGTTCTGGAAAGCAGTCTCAGGGATGTAGCCTCCAGTCCTTCCTTTGATCTGACCCCAGCGACCAGCCCAGAGCTGCAACCGGAGGGGGTTTGAAGGACGGCAGGGCCTCGCTAACCCCGAGCCTGTCCTGGGGCTGGGCCCCGAGGGTGCCTGGGCAGAGAGGACCCTTCCTGCTCCCCAGCCGGGGAGGGTGGATCCCAGTGAGCGTTTCTCCCCATGGCTTTTGGCCCCTTAGCACTGAGGACAAAGGTACATGGGGGCCTTTCCGTGCTTCTGTACCTTTTGTGGCCCAGAGATGTCCCCAGCTGATGTCACATGCCATCTGGATGGAGAAGTGTTTAAATCAAGGCCTAATGGGCGCTTGGTGCAACTTTCCTGACACGAGGAGGGTGCTGAGTGCCAGCAGGCAGCCCTCACGGATTCATCCCAGGTCTCAGAGGGTGCTGGCCACACAGCTCACCCCTGCCCCCACGGGGCCAGGGACAAGGCCTCCTCTAGGTGGTGGTCGCTGATGGGCCCTGCTCTCTCCCTCCGCCGTCCGTCTTTGGCAGCAGCAGTTCAGAGTTAGATTTCCAGGCTGTCTGATGGATTGCAAAGTTTCAGAATCTCTTGCTTTAATAAAAACAAAAGGGAGGGGCATACCTGAACCCCCAACCTCTGACCCCTTCCGTTTCATTCCTGGTCATCCCTGGGGGCCTCCTCACTCTCCCCTCCACGCACTGCCTCCTCCTACCACGAGGGGGCGCCGCTGCCCCTGCGGACAAACTGCCGCCCAGGCCCGGCACACCCAGGGCAGGCGGGGGTGGCAGGGGCAGGCGGGGTGGCAGGGGCAGGCGGCCGGGCGGGCTGGTATTTCCCGACCTACCGGAAGAGCCTGACCCACAGGTCTGTGCCTCTCCAGAGCCTCTGAGTCAGGAGTGTCCTGCTGTTTGAAACTATGGCTTCAAGAGGCTTCCTCAGCGCACCCCAGACGGAATCGTGTAGCAACACATCGCCTAGTGGCCTCCACTGTTCCCAAGCTGTGAGGAACGGAGGCCCAAATGGGCAAACGCAGCTGCAGGCGCCTCAGTGTGAGGCTCTTTGCAGAAGGCTGACCCCGGGGAGACAGTTGGCAACACCCCACCTCCTGCCCACGGCTGTCGGCGTCCAGAAAGAACATGCTGACAACCTAGACAGGAGGTTCCAGTTAGTACGATGATAGACTGACCTTGCCCCGGGCTCCACGCCAGCTCTTGCAGAGGACCAGCAGCTGCGGCCCAGCCCCTCCTCCCCAGGTGCTCGAGAAGGGTTATGTGTACCTGCGGGAGGAGGCGCTGCCCAGCCTCAGTGTTGACCTTGGCCCAGCAAGGCTGCCCTGCCCGCGCTTGCTGTAGCTGCTAACATTGCATTCCCTGCAGAACTGTCTTCCCAAAACAGCGTGGGCACAAACCATCGTATCTTCCCCCAAAAGGCTGGGGTGAAATTCTCAAACCTGGTTGTGGAAACGGCCTCTACTAGTAGCACACGGCCCGCGGGTGCCGGGCCTGCCCTTGATAGTTGTCCCGAAACCGCTCCGAGCCGCCTGCAGCTTCACAGACCCTGGTGGTTCCAGCGGAGCTACCAAGAGCATGGGCTTGAGCGCTGGTGACACCAGGTCACCCATGGAACTCAGGCGTGCCCGCATTCTACCACCTCGCCCGCCCCTGCCAGAGCAACAGTGTCCCCCGAAAGACTAGAGGGGCCACCAGCTGAATCTCCATGCCAAGAAAAGGAGCCTCCCCAAATCCTTGCACCCGAATGTCCCATCAGTGTCCGACACCTTCCCCTCAGTGGCTGGGGCTGGCATTTAGGGCCGTCCAGGTCTCCAGCCCAAGGGACTTGTGACAGCACCAGGCTGCTTGCATGGCTAGTCGCCTCTTCATGCAACAAAACAGTCCCATGATGCTGAGCCCGAAGTTATACTTTTATTTAACGTTTACAGGATGAACATATAGTTACAAGGTCAACAGAAGCCTTCCAATGGAAGCACTTTATTTGGTTTAATTCCATCCCCAGAGACAAATGGGCCATCCCAGGACCTTCACGATGGCGACGGGCCTTCACAACAGTGGAATGCCTCCAAAGTTCAGGGTTAGTGCAACACACACAAACAGCTGAAAGGTGCTCAACATCAGGTTAAAATAGAATTTGGGATCTTTTTTTTTTAAAAGAAGTTTTGGGATGACATAAGCACAGCAGGCAGAGCCAATAAGAGACATGAAACCAAAACTTCTGCAAAAATACTTAGTATTAACATAACCCTTTTATGTTGTGTAAACTTTCTTCTGTAATTGCAGATGTTACCAAAAGGCATCGGAGGCCCTTGTGCTATGCTGGTTAGACAAGCTGCGGGCTTATCTCCAAGACGAGCGAGCTGATAAAAACCCAAAGGGAAATCCCACTACTGCTTCCCAGGCCTTTTCATTTTCTCCCACCCTGCAGTGGAAAAACTGGGTAAATGACAAGTTGCTCTCTTTTCATCTTGCTTTTAAGTCATTTTCAGGGCAGGTTCTTTTAAAACGAGTCATCTCGCCACACAACGATATTCTAGCATTGGCAGAGAAATGACAGGCCGTGGACGGGGCGGGGAGGAGGAGCCCACGCGCCTACCCTACGCGGCGGCTCCATAGCAACGTGCACAGGTCTCACAGCAGGGTCCCAGAGTGAGTGTGTGCCCGGCCACCACAGGGTGACTTATCTGCCCTAGTAGGCCCAGCCGGGACGGCGCTGGCGTCCCCACGCGCCATGCAGTCGGGCGGGAAGCAGACGCCAAGGTTACACGTTTGAAAGCACTCGTCGTCCATTCCTTTTTGGACACAGGTGTAACAGAAGGTTAAAAAAGGACGCAGGGACGCGAGGATACAAGCATATCCTATGTGGGATGTGACAGACACTCAAAGAACAAATCGCTACAGCTTATACCTTTCCCCCTATGCTGCAAGAAACTAATCTACTCGGACCCATAACAGGAAAGATGCGACGCACATGCATTCCCGAGGTTCTAAAATCAGATTTAAAAAAACCCTTGAGCATCCTTGTGGAGAGCGGCCAGCCCCAGCCTGACCTGGCGGAGTTCAGAAGTCCCTGGAGACGCCTGTGCACCCTGTTGACAAAGGAGCCCCTCCTGGAGCATGGGGTGCGCCGTGCTGGTTTACAGGGACGGGGTGAGGCCCTGCCTCTTCTCGCCTTCGGCACCCGGGCCGCCACCCTCCGTCTCGCCCGCGGAGCCTGCTCTCTCCTGTGACGGGGTGCCCACAGCAGGGTCGCCTGTTGCAGAGACGGGAGTCCCGAGGCTCTCCAGCCGGCAGTGGTCAGCCCCAGGCTTAGCCTCACTCTTGGGGAAGAAAGAACGAGAAAGGGCTCGTGCTCGCTCGCTTCTTATCCCTGAAGCCATGTCCCCTCCAGCCGCTCACCCCGGCGTGTTGTGCCGCGGAGTCCAGTTCCCGAGGGCCGACCGAGCTGCTCCTGCAGGACAGGGTGTGGTCGCCCCGGTTTGCCGAGAGGGACACTCCATTTTCCAGTCTCCACACACAGGGCGAGCCACCAGCAAAGACAGGCCCGACTCTGAGGACCTGGCGACTCCGTCCCTTTCCCTCTGGCTCCTGTGGGACTTCCTGGTCTTAGATTCACAGAGGTCAGGAAGAATCGAGGGTGCTTGAGGTGACCGCCTCCTCACACAGCCAAGCAGCAGAGTGAAGGTGCCTGGCTCACCCTGCGCTTCCGCCGGCCGTCCTGGTCACAGAAGCCCACAGCGACTCCTCCCTTGCCTGCGTCTGCAGCGAGTGACAGGAGGGGCCGAGCTGCTCGAAGGCGTGGGGGCCGCAGGCTGCACGACCTCATTTCTCCTCAAAGATCCGCACGGGGAAGGAAACTTAGCTCCGGACGCAAACTCCGCTAATTCCGCACGGCCTGGAGAGCGGCGATGCAGTGCAGAAGCGGTGGCCGCAGGAGCACTGGAGGGCCACAGAGGCACGGGGGCTTTGGTGCTGGCTGTGCCGGGATGCCGGGGTGCTCACCAGGGAAGGAGTGCGGCTCTGCAGGGAGCGGGCGCAGGGGTGAGGCTGGCTCGAGGAGCACGCCCCGCGGGCCTCAGGGACAGGGAGATGTTGGGGAGGGCGGGCCGAGGTGCTCCTCATGAAAGGTGGACACAGGCGAGACGGCAGGCCGGCCCCCGAGACAGGGCTCCCGCGTGTCCCTGTGCCCGCCAGGCGCCGAGGCCGAGCAGGCTGCCGCTTAGCGTGAGCACCAGCCCAGATGAGGAAGGGCCGCGGATACCTAATGGTCTTGGGAAAGGAGGGAGCATTTCCTAGGGTGACCGTCAGTGACAGCTGGGAGCTCAGTCCACCTGGCGCGCATCTGACCCTCCAGGTCCTGTCCTGTCCGTCTCCCCGGGAGACCGGTGGCGAAGTTCCCACAGAAGGCACAGTGTGAAATGCGGAAGGAGCGGCCAGCACGAGCCCGGGTGGACTGAGGGCCCAGGAAGGAGCGAGGGAGGGTGGGCGCCTGTGACCCGCCCTCTTGGTGGCGGGGGAGCGATGAGGACGACCCTGCTGTGGGGGGTGCGGGGAGAGGCCTGGCCCCCTCAAGGCGCCAGGCAGGCCGTGGGAGGAGCTGGGCCACCAGGGGCATGCTGCAAAGAGGGGACGGGGACAGGCCAGCACCGCAGGCGCGCGGGGATGTGGCTGCGGGCGGGGCCACCCCAGCAGCGGCGGGCAGGCCAGTGTGGCCTTGGGGGCGCTGGGGGCTGTGGAGACAAGCAGGCCAGGCCGAGGGGTTTCTCCCGGGAAGGCTCCCCCGAGGCTCGCACAGGCGCACACCACCTTAGGAATCTAGAACACAAAAAGAAGAAGAGAAAGCCTCTGTTAGAGAAGAAGGCAGCAGGTTAGCGGCGGGCATTCTGCTCAGGGCTGCAAACTGCACCGCCTGGGTGGGGGCGGGCAGGGGGTTCAGAGTGATGGGTCACTACAGGGCACAGCCCAGATAAGGAACTTTCACGGTTTAGCTCGGACCCTTAGCTAGTCTTCACTTCAGGGTTAGGAGAGGCCCCAGACGGAGGCCGGTGCAGCCGTCCGCCCCAGCTCATGTTTCTAGTAAGTTTAGTTTCAAGAGAAAGAAACGGACGTTTCTCAGAATGGTGCAAGGAACATGAAGGCCGGGTTCCCTCTCTGACTGACACTCCTGGCTCTTTAGCCGCACAATGGGAAATCTTTGGAGAAAAGGAACACTCGCCACTCTGTCCACTCAGCAATAAACAGTGAAAGCTCTTCATCTTGGGGCGGGAGGAGAGAGACGCGACACACACAGACTTTTCAGGCCCTTGAGTCCCCACAGGGTGAGCAACAGGGAAGAGGTCATCGTTGAAAAAGGGGGTGGAAGGCAGAATTTTAAAAAAGCATTTGGCCAGAAAATTCCCCATTACTAAAGATGGAAGAGTTAAGTATTCATATTACACAGGACAATTTTCTTGGAAAGGTGAAAAATCACTTAAAATACACAACACTGAGGAAAAATATAACGTTTATTAGAGCGGCAGATACGAGGGTACAGCTAAAAGATGCCAGACAGATTCTTTTCTTTTAGGATAAGAATAGAAAGAAACAATCATTTTGGCCACATTAAAACAAAACTTACTCAGAACCCAAGTGTTTATAATAAGCTCAGTGCAGAGCAGCCGGCAGGGGACCTCGCTACCAGCTACCAGCGCAGGAGGCCTTGCGGCTCCCAGCAGTTACGAAAACAAAAAGGTCATTAGGCAGCAGAATAACCAATAAAACAAACAGATAAAAAAGTAAAACGTGAAATCAATTAATTTCAAGTACTCCTTTTAGTTTTTAAATGGCAGTATATACAAATAGATTCTGTGGAGGGAATCACAGACATGTTTAACAGAAAGCAATTTGAAAAAACAAAAACAAAACCACAAAAGAAGAAAGTCACAATCCAGTTGACCAATTGGAAGTTACTCTCGTCTAAATAGTTTGGCAATTATTAAATAAGCACGTTGCAGACACCACACACACACACACACACACACACACACACAAAGTGCACAGGCATTATTAAAAATAAAACCACCCTCTGGCCACAGGCAGCAGAAAGCAGCAGCCCCGCCAGGCTGGAGGAGTCCAAGGGGAGCCGTGTTTTTGGGGAAGCGGGACAGATTCGTAAGGAAGGTCGGGAGGAACAGCTTCTACATACACATGATTAACCCCTCAGTGTAGCTGTCAAGTAAAAGGAGAAAACATTACCAACAGCTGAGATTTTGCTTCTTTTATTTTTAACAGAGAACTGTTGGAAGAAAACTAGTATACTTGGGGTGGAAATGGAGACTCCTGACTCTTTGGGAATTGTTCCAATGTTTTCTGATACTTCACACATGGACTAAATGGAACCGAAACTACAAAATATCTTCATTGTTTAGTCGATATCATATAGATTCACCTGTTAAGAGTTACTCTCAGGCATACAGCTTAATAATTGTAAATTTATGTGTCCAAACATGTCCAAACCAACACCCCCAGCTCACAAACCAATTGGGCTATTTTCTGAATCAAATTTACATAACTCTAAAGGAAAAAAACACAACTTGACAGAATGCCCTATTTTTAGAGCGGGTTTTTGAAAGGCTAATGAATGTTGTTTCACCCCATTTTAGACTTTTTTCAGTGTCTAGTTGGCTTTCTCTCATAGTACATATGCTGGAAATGAGTTCATCATCGGATAGAAAGGTCAGATTTTAGTATCTTAGGTCTCCCATTCACTTGGTTACACACAGAAAGCTGGAAACTTCCTACTGCTCATTAAAGCTAATCCCTGTTGTTGAAGGGTCAGCTGATTTTCTTTTCTTGCTGCAATTCTTACAAAGGAGAATGAAACAGTTCCCCCAGAGAGGCCTGGGGTCAGGAGGAGTGGCTTTATGGATGTTATGTAAGGAAAAGTATTCCAAAGAAATTTTAATTACAAAATTCACATATATTTAAAAAATCATGCTGACCAACGTTGGCTCCCTGCTTTTGATGCTGCGCTGCTGGAGCTGTGTAAGATACAGCCACTGAGGAAACAGCGTGGAGGGTATATGGGACCCCTCACATACTGTCTGTCTTTGCAGCTGCCTGAGACTCTGTCATTATTTCCAAATGAAAAGTGTGTTTTAAAAAAAATCAGGCTGTCATTAAGTAAAGATGACTTAAATTCCATTTTGGTGGCCCTTGTGAAATTTAAGGGAATTTGCTGCTGGAATCTTGAAACACAGCAACAAGCACTTATCAATCCTGCCAGGTTCTAGAGCCCGGATGTGAGGCTATCGCTTTGAAAAATCAGCTTGAAATGGACTTGAACTTATAAAATGAACCCACAATGTAGAGGCAAGAAGCTAATTTCTCACTTAAAAGTAAAGAGGGACACATATAAAGAATTTTCAAAGTCAAATAAAAAGAGAATCTTAACCCCACACCTTCACTCTGACCCATGTATAACTGGCTCTCTGTGATCTCAGTGTAGATTCTGGCAATGGACACAATCAAATTCTGGGCTTGGTAACCGTCTATGCATGTGATGAATTTCGTATCTACCCTCCCTCCTTAGTGCCAATTTAAAAACGTAAATTCCCACCAAGTGGCCCAGATTCCTTAAAGATGATGAAACATTTTATTTTAATCTGGCTATAGTTAATTATATAAAATGAGCCAGACATTCTAAAACAATTTCCAGGAAATTCAAATATTGCCAATGATTTAAAAAAAAAAAAAATCCCCCCTTTGAAAAGTGACGTGCCTGTGTGTGGAAGCAGCTGCCGCCACACCAAGCTCTGTTTATAGCCCTGCCTGGGCGAGTCTGAGCTGAATATGCTCTACCTGCCACAAAACTCAACAGACACTACCAAGTGTGAGAAAATCAGAGCCAAAGGGAGCTGAGGCGTAGCCATGACCTGCTTTTAAATAAGCTGATCTAGACGGCACTGGCACATCTGATCAACTGTCAATCTGGTGGAGCTTAGAAGATCAGTCATGGCTTGTGAAAATCAACTGGTTACCTGACCAAATTTTTCCAGATTTCAATTGGTTGTTTGGGATCATATAGACATTATCGGATAATCATGATGATCTAACAATGATTTAACCATGTTTAAGTAAAAATATGTACTTTGGTACCAATATAAGAATCTTATTTACTTCTTTACTCAAGAAGGGGGACATTTTATTTTAATGATAACTTCCTCCCAAGTGAATGATTATAAAATTTAACAAACTAGCATAGTTTAATTTATTAAGTTACAAAATGTAACCTCCTAACATAACTCGATTTATGGTGGATACCAGATAGAAACCAAAGAACTGACATCTTCTGCACCCACATGACATAGGTGGACTTTTTAATTCAGAAATATTGATTGGAAGTTAGAATGCAACTTTGTTATCTACAGATACTGCCAAAGGAAGAAATGTTTATCGGATTTTGAACGACACAGTTGTAAATTGGCAGTTGGCAGTTTTCCACGTAAAATTTCATCAGCAAGAAACTTGATCATAGTCAAAGCTAGACAAGGCAATCCCGGTGCACGGAGCCCGCGAGTCCGCCAGGAGACTGCACGACCACGTGCGTGCACTGCGGTGTTCTCCGTTCGTCCCGTGAAGAAACGCCTGTAACAGCCACAGTTGTGGGAAGAAACAACTCCAACTTTTTAAAAGTTTTTTTAAGTGGTATTAAATATAAGTCTTAGCACCTTTGGCATTTTTGTCCAAATAGACTTCGACGTATGAAGTGGGGACGTAACCCTCTTCATCTTCATTTCTCCGAATACGGGTCCACCCGTCACCTTTGTCTTCCTCTATGACATACAGTGTTTCTCCTTCAACTACAGAGATGGTTCCTTCATTCTGACCTGAAAAAGCAATATCGGAATAGTTTAGGGGGTCTTGTCAAATTCAGGTGGAAAGCAAACAGCAATCTTTGTGATGAAATGAATGTAACAAAAGATGAGGCCTGGCCGGGTGTGGTGGCTCACACCTGTTATCCCAGCACTTTTAGGAGGCTGAGGTGGGAGGATGACTTGAAGGCCAGGACAAGACCAGCCTGAGCAACATAAGTAAAAAAAAATATTACAAAAAGTAAAAAAAATTAGCTGGGTGGCGCATGCCTGTAGTCGCAGCTACCCAGGAGGCTGAGGCAGGAGGATCGCTTGAGCCCAGGAGCTGCAGGCTGTAAGCGAGCTATGATTGGGCCAGTACTGCAGCCTGGACGACAGAGCAAGACCCTGACTCAAAAACGGAACAAAAAAGATGAGGTCTGTACAGAACACATCCTCTTGGACCTCTCAGATGCACTGACCCCTCCCTCACTGCCCTGACACTCCTCCCCGCCCATGAACTTCCAGGTCTCTCTAAGGACTGTTCTAAGTTTTCCATGGGCCTTTTCTCCTTCCTTCCAGAATGGCAAGTACGTCCCCTTGGGGCGGATCCTCTATCTCTCTTGGAGGGAAAGCGGCCCCAGGGCTTCAACTGCAGCCCTCTAAACAGCGGCCTCACACTGCTTTCTCCCACTCTGGCATTTTTCTGCAGCGAGGATCCCTCCTTTCCTAGTGCCTGCAGCGCGCGTCCACCTCGATGTGGCCCAGGCACTACAAATGCAACACGAGTGAACCTGAATTCATTGTTCTTCCTCCCAAACTAGGTCCTCCTTCTGCTCCCCCATTTCACTGGACACTCCATTGTCCCAGGAATGCAACTTGGGACTCATGTTTGATTTCCTCTCCTTCTCCTTTCCAACTTCCAATCAGCCCTGAAGTTTAACTTCAGTGTCTCTGTTGTGTTCCTAGTCAAGGCCCCCCAGGCCATTTGCTAAGGTCATACAAAAGGCACCACTGCCCAGAAGGTTTCAGGAAGGCAAATTATTTAACGAGCTGTTAACAGGGGAAACAGGGAGTCGGGAGCAGGGGAGGGCGGGCGGTGATTGGATGTGAAGTGAAACTGGGAACATTTAACCTGGCACTTCTTTCTTGTTTTGTCACAAAGAACATTTATTTGGTCTATTAAAGGTTCTGAAAAGTCCTGCAGCAAAGAAATCTATAAGATCCATTTATCTCAGGGCTTCCCATACTTACTGGAGCTCTGATAGCCGTTTTCGCAGCGTCCTTATTAACACTCTCAGGACATGGTGTCCAGGCTCATCAGTTTAGAAACACTAGGCTAGTCTTCCTACCCATCCTCCCTGTTTCCTAATAGACCCTACACATGTGCCAATAAATCCCCCAAGGATATAGGAAATGTTGTGTTATTCTTGCAGCCTTGATATTCAGAGTAGATTGTAAGATATAAATTTTTATGAGATTTCAAAGATTAAGATTATTTTGATAACATTATTTACAGATTTAAAAGATGTGGTTATCACAAGTCTGTTGAGAGGGAAAACTGCATAAAATAACTAACTTGGAATAAATATTTTGCATCAGTTAAAAAAAGAAATCTCCTAAGCTACAGCTCTGTGCACATCCACACTGGCTCAAGTACTTTCAACAGCTCCTTGATGTCTGCCAAATAAAATCCAAAGGCTTCTCTTATCCCCCTGCCCCAACAATGGCACTTGCCATTTTCTACGAGCGTATTCCACTATTACCACTTGAGACCTCTGAGCTCTGGCCACACGCCCCCCATGCTGGCAGTGCTATGCCATGGCGGGCTGTCTAAACTTCCTCAAGGAAGTGGTCTCATTCTCCCATGAGCTCCCATCACTGTGGACCCCTCCTCTGGTAAACACTGCAAGCTGTCCTCTCACACCTGTGTCTGCCTGATTCCCCTACGGGCACGTGCCCTGTCACACTGCCTGCACCCCGCCCCTTCTCTGGCCTTTACGAGACAGAAGCTCTATAAGTATTAAATGAATGGTGGATGACACAGCTATCATTCCATCCCTAGGAAAAAAATATTATTCCATTTCATCCACTCTGAAAGCTGTTAAATTATACAAATCAAAAGTCAAAAGACACAGCCATTAACCAAATAATAATAATAGGTTTGGGGCCTCTGAAGGGGGAGGATTGCTTGTGGCTAGGAGTTTGAGACCAGCCTTGGCAACATAGCAAGACCCTGTCTCTACAGAAAAAAAAAAAAATTAGCCAGGTGTCGTGGCACCTGTAATCCCAGCTACTTGGGAGGCTGAGACAGGAGGATCACTTGAGCCCAGGAATTCGAGGCTGCAGTGAGCTGTGATCGCACTGCTGCACTTCAGCCTGGTGACAAAGTGAGACCCTGTCTCTATAAAAATACTACTACGAGTAGGACAAAAGCATAGCAGAGAAAGAGCTGCAAGGCTTCTAAGGAAAGGTCTGGTCACAGAAAGAGAAGAGTGACCCGGACATAGTTTATAAAAGGCAGGTGAATCCAGCCGACATGAAGTGTCACCTTCAAACGTGTAGAGAGCTTTGCAAGTCCCTATGGCAGGAAGGGGCTCCTCATCATCAAACTCGTCATCGAAGTCCGTGGCCAGCACCTTCACCTCACTCTCCTGGCTTTGCTCCTCTGTGTAACTGCCATCTGGGCTGCTCAAGAAAGGAAAACACACAGCAACTATAGCGACCGACTCCAGGGAGGACTCAATTTTAGTCCTGTGACCGCATGCAACCCTCCTCCAGGGTTGTCATTAAGACCGTTTTAAATTATCCCGCATGCTTAGATCACCACCCCCTGTTCAATTATAAATTTGTACCACGGGAAGAATCAGAGGTCAATCCTAACAGATATTTTGGCATCTAACAAGTGGCTTATGCTCATTTCCAAATCTGGGAATTTAGAAATGAATGCAAAGCAAATCTCCGCCAGAGCCAGGCGCCGCACAGATACTGTACCTCTCCCGGTCTTGTGCGCAGTTGTTGACTGTTGGAGGGTTCTGGCTGTCGTACAGGCCGCTCTGCCGCCGGGCCTGCTCGCTGCGTGCAGGGAGTCGGCCTTCAACCTCAGCCAGCCAGGCCTGGAAACAAGGCAACGAAAGACTCTGGCCTCAGTTCATCTGAAGGCCGGACCAGGCCCCAAATGTAGGGGCTGCTCCTCGGTCATTTAAACTGATGCAAGAAGGTCCACACGCGGACAGGGTGTGGGCAACTGTACAAATATGAGTTTGCTTCCACTTCTCCAACTTTGGGTGAAATCAAAGCAGCTACCTTTGAGTACATCCATACGGTTGACAAACTTGATGAAACACTTAACTTAAAAGACATAACTGGGCCAGGAGCGGTGGCTCACGCCTGTAATCCTAGCACTTTGGGAGGGAGGCCGAGGCGGGCGGATTGCTCAAGGTCAGGAGTGCAAACCCAGCCTGAGCAAGAGTGAGACCCCGTGTCTAATATAAATAGAAAGAAATTAATTGGCCAACTAATATATATCTATAGAAAAAATTAGCTGGGCATGGTGGCGCATGCCTTGTAGTCCCAGCTACTTGGGAGGCTGAGGCAGGAGGATCGTTGAGCCCAGGAGTTTGAGGTTGCTGTGAGTTAGGCTGATGCCACGGCACTCACTCTAGCCTGGGCAACAAAGTGAGACCTGTCCAAAAAAAAAAAAAGACATGACTGCATATAAATACAACTTTCAACACAATCACGTTTTAAGAGACACAATTAAAATTGGATATGCTGAAAAGCAGAGCACTGGGCAGGTAACAGTGTATTTTGTCTTTTTTTTTTTTTTTTTTTGAGACAGAGTCTCGCTTGTTGACCAGGCTAGAGTGAGTGCCGTGGCGTCAGCCTAGCTCACAGCAACCTCAAACTCCTGGGCTCAAGCATCCTTCTGCCTCAGCCTCCCGAGTAGCTGGGACTACAGGCATGCGCCACCATGCCCAGCTAATTTTATATATATATATTAGTTGGCCAATTAATTTCTTTCTATTTATAGTAGAGATCGGGTCTCACTCTTGCTCAGGCTGGTTTCGAACTCCTGACCTTGAGCAATCCGCCCGTCTCAGCCTCCCAGAGTGCTAGGATTACAGGCGTGAGCCACCGTGCCCGGCTTATTTTGTCTTTTAATGTAACTCATGGAACAGCCTGGCAGTCCCAGCTGTGACCCACCCAGCAAAAAAGCTGCTGGTGGGCGCAGTGGCTCACGCCTGTAATCCTAACACTCTGGGAGGCCGAGGCGGGTGGATTGCTCGAGGTCAGGAGTTTGAAAACAGCCTGAGCAAGAGCAAGACCCCGTCTCTACTATAAAAATAGAAAGAAATTAATTGGCCAGCTAATATATATAGAAAGAATTAGCCGGGCATGGTGGCGCATGCCTGTAGTCCCAGCTACTTGGGAGGCTGAGCCAGAAGGATCGCTTGAGCCCAGGAGTCTGAGGTTGCTGTGAGCTAGGCTGACGCCACGGCACTCACTCTAGCCTGGGCAACAAAGCGAGACTGTGTCTCCAAAAAAAAAAAAAAAAAGAAAAGAAAAAAAAAAAAGCTGCTGGCGTCTGCACCGATACATGCAGAGCAGCACCTGTTCCTCTTTCTGGCTCTTTGTTTACAAGAAAGCTTTTCAACAACACAGTTTTCATACCTCAAATTTCTGGGTCTCTAGTCTCAGTTTTTCTATATTTTGGCTGACTTCGGCCAATTTGTGATCCAAACTGGCTGGGTCTCCCATTTGAGGATTCTTCAGGTAGACATCTTTCATTTTTGTTATGGCATCTCTGGAAAAAAGAAAGAGCAGAACAGTAAAGGTTGCTGTTGTCAGCCAATTATACTCCACCACTTTGACAGCCATATGAACGGGAATGTGGGAAGACTGGATCTGAGCATGGATTTGAAGGGACTACCAGGCCAGCTTTCATTCTGGAAATTATCTATAAGAATTCTGCTACAAGGTCCATATAATCCAGCGGCTGATTTTTATTAATAAATTTCATTTGCTTTTTCTGAATGGTGTTTCCCTACTTTCTACAGCAAATGAGAAACATAAATTAATCCTGCCCCTCCCTTTGCCCCAAACAACAAGAAAAACAAAGAACTCCTGAGTATTTCCATGTGCACATTCTTCACACAAACCAAAGCTACAACCGGTGTCCTGGGTCTTGTGGGTTGCAATACGTTTGCCTCATAAAGAAGCACAGTGGGCCAGGCATGGTGGCTCATGCCTATAATCCTAGCACTCTGGGAGGCCCAGGCAGGAGGATTGCTCAGGGTCAGGAGTTCGAAACCAGCCTGAGCGAGACCCTGTCTCTACTAAAAATAGAAATAAATGAATTGGCCAATTAAAAAATTATATAGAAAAAATTAGCTGGGCATGGTGGAACGTGGCTGTAGTCCCAGCTACTTGGGAGGCTGAGGTAGGAGGATTGCTTGAGCCCAGGAGTTTGAGGTTGCTGTGAGCTAGGCTGACGCCGTGGCACTCTAGCCTGGGCAACAGAGTAAGACTCTGTCTCAAAAACAAACAAAAAAAGCAGCACAATGAATTGCCTTGGAAATTTTCTTATACTCCATTGCAACCGTTAAGAAACTGAATCCACAGTTGGCATCCACAAAAGGCAGCTAAGAGCGTTAGAACTGCATATTGCAAGATTCCACCCCTTTCCTGAAATCATGTTTTGGAAGCTGCCCCGGGAGCCCGAGCAGGCATCCCCAGAGAAGTTTGCAGGCCTGTTGGGGTTTACCTTTAGTGTTGGAGGCAAGGACCCTCAAAGACCCTCAACTCCCCTATGACTCGTCCTACGCACGGGCTTCGCCCTGGAAAATTCCAGCTATAGCTCCGAGAAGAATGCATTCCATGACGTGCTGACCACGGAATGCTCCAGGGTGTGCTAACTGCAATTGTTCCCGACCACCTGCCAGGTTGGGGTTGAGTAATCAGTCACAAACAGCTTCGATACGATAAGACGCTGATTGGGGCTGATTAACCCAGACCCAAGCCTCATCGTCACCCCACTCTATTTTTCTGTTTTACTTCCTTGTTTCTGTATGCTTATAAAACCTACAAAGAATCCAAGTAAAGCAGACCTTGACAACCCTTTGCTTGGTCTCGTTCCTTTCTCTCGCCCATCTCTTTCAGGCACGGTCCCCCTTGACCCCACGAGTAACAGAAGGTCCCGCGGGCCGGGACACTTTAGGACCAAAGAACTCTACTAACTTTAACCCTAGCTTTAAGGCACTTCCAGTAGGCTTTGAGTTGGAAAAAGTTTAGAACAAATGTCTCTTTGCAGATAAGGAGCTAACTTTAATGAGCTTCAGCAAAATAAAATTCAAACCAATCATACAACACAAGGCCTTCAAACACACCAAAAGATATATTTTGGGTCATGGGAAATAGTTTAACTGAAAATATAGAAATAATGGGAATAGAATTTCCACAAGTCCTCACTACCCTTCTCCTTGACTACTTGTGTCTGAGCCCACGGGCACTGACAAACTGTCAGCTCCTCCCTAGGGTCACCCCTCCACCAGAGGGCGAGATCCACTTGGACTTCTTCCCTCTGCTCCTTCCTTCCTTCCCTCTGTCCATAGCATGCATCACTTTCCAACACTGTATGATTCATTTATTTTTATGTTTATTATTTACCGTCTGTCTCCTCCCATAAGAATGGAAGCTCTTAGAGGAAGCTCTGTGAGTTCCCAAGTGTCAGGACAGTCCCTGGCACACAGTAGATGCTCATTAAAATTTGCTGAATGAACAAATGTTTTTATAAGCAGGCTGTGATGCTGTCTATCCTTATTATGTGCTTTACAAAACCCCTCTTTTGACTCCATGGCAGACACCTCCCTCCAGCTACCTCCCTATTTCTCAGCAAAACTCCTCAAAAGAGTTGAACCAACTTTTGGATCTGTTGGTCCTCTCTGTTGAATTATATATTTTCAAATTTAATTCATTTACACTGTTTCTTTTGTTATTTCCTTTCTTCGATTTTGGGGGGGTTTGATTTGGCTGTTCCTTTTATAACTTCTTTTTTTTTTTGAGATACAGTCTCTGTTGCCCTGAGTAGAGTGCCATGGCGTCAGCCTAGATCACAGCAACCTCAAACTCCTGGGCTCAAGTGATCCTCCTGCCTTAGCCTCCCGAGTAGCTGGGACTACAGGTGTGCACCATGACGCCCAGCTAATTTTTATGTTTTTAGTAGAGATGGGGTCTCTGCTCTTGCTCAAGCTGGTTTCTAACTCCTGAGTTCAAGCAATCCTCCCACCTCGGCCTCCCAGAGTGCTAGGATTACAGGCGTGAGCCACCACACCTGGCATTAAAATTGATTTTTTAAAAAAATCCCAGATCATGCTAATTTTCTGCACAAAGTCTTTTTATTTTGTTTTTCCTGTGCAAAATATAAGTTGCACAAAAACAAAGATTTTTGTACCTTTTGTCCACTGTTTTATCCTCAGTGCCTAGACTATTCCCTTGCATACAGTAAGTGTTCAATAAGCAGCTGTTAAGTGAATAGCTGAACATTTTACCTTATTACCAGTGAGGGCTGTCACAGAGGTTAAAAGGGTCAGGTTCCACGGCCACAACCCAAATGACAGAGAAAACTTTCTACATGATACCATGTTTCCCCGAAAATAGGACAAGGTCTTATATTTATTTTTCCTCAAGAAGACACCCTAGGGATTATTTTCAGGGGGTGTGTTATTTTTTTTAAGTATGGTACAACAATCTACATTTATTCAAATATAGGTAAGTTGTCTTCTTCTGGAACATCATAATAACTCTCCAAACCCCAAATTCCATCCTGAATTTCTTGCGACTCTATTTCCTTTTAGAACCATCGGCCCCAATGTTTTATGTCGAGCAATGGAGCTCTCATGGGGCAGATGAGAAGGTCTACTCGTCTTCTTTTCCGCTCTGCAACGAAATGCATGGGTCGTGCAGATATGCTGCGTAGCCACGCCCATCACTAGGTCTTATTTTCAGGGTAGGGCTTATATTGTGCAAATGCTTAGAAATCCTGCGAGGGCTTATTTTATGGGTAGGTCTTATTTTCAGGGAAACACCGTATTAGACAATTAGAGAGACAGGGTAGATCTGTTTTAAGTCTGTCAACAACCTCTAAAATGTCATTTCAGATACTCAAATCCTAAATTTTTACTCCTGTAGAAAATAAAACTGCTCATGTATTAAAAAGCATGCAGTTTATAATACATTAACCATTTTTACATTTGGTTCCACATGTAATAAAAAGTACAAAGCAAACTTTCCATTTTAAAATATATTTCTAATATAAAACTAGAACAAAATCAATTACGTGTGTTCCTACATTTTATATGCTGTAAAAATGTTTATAAAATAACCTATTTTTTAAGGAGTTGCTCTATTGGGGTAAAAGAATTTTAAAAACCCAGACTTTTCTGTTGCATGCACTTAAACTATACTGCCTTACCAATGTTGGTTGGAGGCTTATTTTTTGCATAACCAAATTTTAATCCAGCTTCAAAATAACTACATTGTATGTAGGATCACCATTTGACCTATTTATTGAGAGCACAAAATCTCAAGTTATCTTTTAAGTTCAAATCTCAAAAAAAATCAATGACTCACCTAATTCAACAGTGGGAACATATAAGGTAAGAACCAATAAAGTGGCTTTTCACTCAGGATTATTAGCAAACATCCCCAAAATGATGTGAAAGTACTATAGGTTACAAAAGTGGGAAGAGAAACTCAAATGAGACAGTAAATCTGTTGTACCTTTTTTTTTTTTTGGCACGTGCACCAACCCACCACCCCTAAGAGCAAACTTGCAAAACAGCTCAGAAACCTGGGAACCATGCACGGGAGTCTCCCACAGTGGGGCATCCGATAAGACATGCTGGGATTTGTTTTCTAGACACCGTCAATACACTCTGTGAAAAGCCTGGAGAACCTACTCCAGGAATTGTCCTCTAATAGAGGAAGGAACTTTTGGACCCAAAGTGAGGAGGTGGGGCGAGGACAGGGTGCCGGCCATGCTGCTTTTCTCCTCTTCATCTGTGCAAATAAGCTCCCTATTCACTCATGATAAAAGAGTGCCAAATGTACTTTGCTCCTCAAACTCTGAATAAAATCTATTTGTAAGTGGGGATCTCACAGAGAATAATAAAGCGGTTCAGTAAACTGTCTGTGACAAAACACACCGTGAAAGTCTCTATTAAATCTATTTCAGATCTCTCTTCTCTCCAAAATGAATGTGAAGTTCTCAATAAGTCATGCCGATCCACTATACCTTTGATCCATCTCCTTTTGAATTTCTTTATTTAGTTCATCGACTTTCTGCTGCAGCTTTTTCCTTCTTTGTTCAGGTGGGAGGTTGCTAAAATCCTCTGGAGTCGCACCCTGCAGATGCAAACACAGATGAGAAGCCGGAAGGCCCTGAGGTACTCCTGGATAGAAGATCCCAAGCAAAGCCTGCAGACACGGGAGATGCAGCTGTCTGCATGTGGCTCCACAAAATAAATTAAGCTCTTTCCCACTACGCCCAGCTGAGATGCAAAAATCAATGCATGCAAATTGCAGAAGTCCCACAAACCACTGCATCTTCCATTTACACTGGCCGAGACGCCTCTGAAAAGGCAGGGGCAATGCCACAGGAAGGAGAGAGGGGAAGAAATACTTCTGACTCTAGTGAGAATTCATGAAAAACAAATTTTTAGCCGGATTCTTCTTCATTTCCTTACAAAGTGTTACTGTCAGTGTCTGGGGCAACACTGACGTGTCAGGGAAGTTTCCGTTTCCTTAATGCAATCCCATCACCAGCGGCCTTCGCGTCCGGCTGTTCCCCAAGTCTGAGTATTTCTTCCTGTCTCTGCATAAGAGGCTGAGGCCAAAAGTTTCCATCCCTGTGAAGTGACAGCTGGGACACCACGTTCCTCAGAGAATGTGGGTGAGAAGAACATTTGAAAATATATCTCCCTTCCCCAACCCCATGCCCGCTTCCCTCGCCTCTGCTTTTCACTTCTTTTTGGCGCCTTTGGGGTAGTCCCTGAGGATCCAGATAGAATGCCCTCCCGACCTCAAAATCAGCTTCCCACAGTGTGCCAAACTGATCTCTCCTGCTTTCAAACTGTCAGAAGAAATGTATTTCAAACTCTCAATTCCCTTTTCGAAAGCAATTGCTATCTTTCCTCTGTGCAAGCACTTTAAGCAGAAAATATCATCAGCGAGTCTCCAGACTTCGGCCTATGCTTACTTGTTAGAAAGCTGTGGCTACGTTGTGGTATCAAGTGCTTTTACTTAAGTGAAGCTATTTTCATAAAGAAAGAGATATTTATTCTCCCCAGGGATAAGCCAGGGGATTTAGAAAAAAGAGTTTTCTTTAATACTTCAATTCTTTTAAAACAGGGCAAGACCGGCTTGGGGCTGGGCAGAAAGAAGGGACCCAGTTAATGTCATTCCAGAGTCAAGCTGAACTTGCCAAGTAGCTTACATGGGGGCTTGTGACTGAGTCCCTAGCCTGATTACCATAAAATGCCAGGCTGCTGTGCTGGGAAGCATGTGATTCAGCAAATAGTTGGTTGAACAAAGGCCACAAAGGACCTTTCAGCGAATGTTCTCAAAGACGCACCTGTAAGACGCACTGGTTGCTTTGACTCTGGTGCATGCCTGTGTGTGTGCGTGTGTGTGTGCGTATGTGCGTACGTGAGTGAGTGAGGAGACAGGATGTGAGTGGGACCAGAATGGAAGAGCCTACTTCTAATACCAAATGAAGGAAGATTAATTTGACTCTAAAACTAACATGAAGCAAAACTAACCTTCAACATAGAAATAAGATGTATTTTTTCTTTTCCATATACAATGGTGTTATGATATTTGAAACCTGAGCTATTACTGGCTTTTCAATTTGTTCAATTATTGAGGTAAAAAAAATAATTTGTGCTCATGCTGAATTTACTTAAAGGAAATCAGCACTGTGACAGTGTGATATACATACGGGTTTTTGTCCCCCGTTTCTGACTCGCATAACCCTGGTTACGGTCTTCTACTAGAATGCTGGGGTGCTTAAGCAGGCCTCAGAAAACAGAATCTCTCTCTCCGACCTTCCCTTGCCTGTCTCGCACCTGCCCAAGGCAGGACGCTAATCTGATTGTGGTCATGAGACCTTCATTCCAGAGAGGGGCCTGCCCCTACCCTGGATGAAGGACGCTGCACAGACAGGCCTTGCTGGGCTTCCCCACTCAGTCAGTCTGTAGATCGTCCCCTTTTTGTCCAACCACTTTGCAACATGGCTGTCCATGCTTCGACCATGCCTATCCAGTGACATCTCCCTAAAAGGTCCAAGAGGACAGGGTCTGGGGAGCTCCGGACAGCTGAACACGCGGAGGTTCCTGGAGGATGGTGCCCCTCCCCACACCTCACCCTGGGCATCTCTTCCTCTGTATCGTTTGTCATATCCTTTACAATAAACCGGTAACGTAGCTTAAGTGTTTCCCCGAGTTCTGTGAGCCGCTCTAGCAAATTGATCAAACCCAAAGAGGGGTAGTGGAAACCCCAACTTGGAGCTGGGTTGTCAGAAGTTCTGGAGGCCTGGACTTACAACTGGTGGGCAAGGGAGGGTGGTTTTGTGGCACTGAGCCCTCAACCTGTGGGATCTGACCCTATCTCCACATAGATAGCTTCAGAATTGAGTTGAATTATAGCACACCCAGCTGGTGGTGTCTGTTGCGTGGTGTGTGGGGAAAAATCCCCACACACCAGAAGTCACAGAAGTCTTCCCAGTTGACTGTTGCTATGGTGTGAGAGCTGAGAAAAAGTGGTTTGAGTCTTTCCAAACAAGCATGTTTTTTAGAATCAAGATTTTCTTTAAAAGCTGTAATGCAACAAAACACAATGTAAGAGACACTGCTTCAGAAGTCAGGAAATCTAATGAGCTGTCTATGTTAATTTCGTTAACATTTGCTGAGCTTTACTATGTATGTGAGTCTAGCAGCTTTCTATGATGATGAAAATGTTCTATGGCTGCACCATCCAACATAGTAGCCAAGGGTGGCTACTGAGCACTTGAAATGTGGCTAGTGCAACCGTGGAACTGAATGTTTAAAATTTATTTGATTATTAAAATTTAACAGGCACATGTGGTACATGGCTTGACCATGTTACATGTCACGGCTCTAGCCTGTGTGCATGTATAAGATTTACACCGTGCATAAACAGGTGCAAAGAAATCTGTCTGTGAAGCACACTGCACTGATGACTTAAAAGAAAAAAAAAACAAAAAAACAAAGAGACTGGTTATACCAGGTGGGATTGGTATTAGAAGAGTGTGTCATATACATATAGGTATTTTAAATGGCTGGAGCTCTGTAAGATGATCTTGTTTTACATGCTAATAAAGTAAACACTTGCTTACAGGCAACTCTCCCCAAACAGCACAAGCCCTGTGTAAAACTGCCCCCTGAGATTTTTTTTTTTTTTAAACCCAAGTGGTCTTTATGGAAACACCTCACTTGTTTACTGGCTTCAAGGAAATGGTACAAAGCAACAATACAATACCAAATTGGTAAAATAATTTGTATTTCAAACAGAAAGATTGTCTAAGAATATTACCTTTTGCTGCTAGCACCCAGCAAAAGAATAAATAAAGGGTAAGAAAGAAAGCCCAGCAGCTGAGAGAGATTCCTAGTTAATTGATCCAATTTCTCCTGAATTCATACTGTTGATGTATTTATAGTTTATTCAAGTGTCTAGATCTCTTTCCTTCTTGTGGAGACCTTAATCAAAGATTCTTTGCAGGATTTTATTTTACAGTCTAAAAAATGTTTAATAAAATATTCTTTTTCTTTAGGGTTGGGTCTGTTGCCAAATACTGAGTCAGGTTGAAAAAATTATATATATTCATGTATGTATATACCTGCTCACATATAAATATGTACATAAAAATCAGCCTAAAATACTATGTCCTAGGCTATCAACAGCAGTGCATATAGTGCTGATCTCACTCCTGGTTGAATTGTCACAGTTCATCATTGTCCATTATTTTAGGATATTCTCAGCTGTGGCATTTGAGAAGACTATGCAACTTTTATACATATTTGGAGTATAGTTGGGGTTATGTTGGTTAAATTTTCTTTTAATAAATTTAATGATTAGTTTGTCTACTAGGACTATACAATTAAGTAGAAACAACATAAAACACTAAGTAAATAATTCTAAAAAGGCCTAGGAGGCTCCTTTCACTGTCCATGGAATCGTTCTGTGGCGTCTTGAATCGGTTATGTGCAAGGTACCAACATACTTCTGTAGCATCTGAAAGAGACCGCATTCTTCCATTCTCACAGGCTGCCTGAGAGCCCAGCAGCTGCTGCAGGCTGGGATCATTACTGCATGTCTCCTTCAGGTTCCCAGAGTTTTCCATCTACTTCTATGGCTCCCAGAGAGGAACATTTCTCAACTATTAAATTTACTTTTATTCAAAATGTTCCAATAAATATCTCCTCAAGATTTAATAATATTTATGTTCATATTTATATAGATAATTTATCAACATTTGTCATCCTAAGGCCCCAATAATAAAGAAAACCAAGTCATGAGTTAAGTGTTAATTTTCTTAGCAACTTGAAAAGATTAAGATCACCTCTATGAGATTCCAGACCTTTGTAGTCCAAAGATCTGATAAAGAAACACCAACCAAAGCACACATAAGAGAAACACAAATGAACAGTTAACTTGGAGGATCCGGTGCGCATGGCATAGCATCCACAAACACACACCAAAAACCTGATTAGACTCGGGACATGCAGGGAATAATTGTGCTTACCAGCTTGAGAGAAAGCTTCATGGAAAAATTGAAGAGGTAACAGTAAAAAGAGAGACAAAGAAAGAGAGAGAGAGAGAGAAAAAAAAAAAAACAATAACACATCAGAATAAAAGGAACGTGGTCTGTTCCACCATATTAAAATAAGACATAAATTCATCTGTTGACTTATAAAAATGACTTGTAGCAGATCTGTGCAAAAGTTCACAAGAAAGGCTGGTCCCTAATGAAACGCTTTTTTTTTTTTTTTGAGACAGAGTCTCACTTTGTTGCCCCGGCTAGAGTGAGTGCCGTGGTGTCAGCCTAGCTCACAGCAACCTCCAACTCCTGGGCTCAAGCAATCCTACTGCCTCAGCCTCCCGAGTAGCTGGGACTACAGGCATGCGCCACCATGCCTAGCTAATTTTTTCTATATATATTAGTTGGCCAATTAATTTCTTTCTATTTTTAGTAGAGATGGGGTCTTGCTCTTGCTCAGGCTGGTTTTGAACTCCTGACCTCGAGCAATCCGGCAATCCTCCCGCCTCGGCCTCCCAGAGTGCTAGGATACAGGCGTGAGCCACCGTGCCCAGCCCCTAATGAAACGTTTTTGAGGCTGCCACATTGCCAGAGCAAAGATAAGATAGCAAAGGAGAGCTTCTGCTACAGTTTTGTATCGCTCACCCAGCCTCAACGTAAACTAAAGTAAGCATGGAGTTGGTGCCATATGATGACTGTAAAAGACAAATATAATCACACGGCCCAGTTCATCAAATTTCCCATGGAAAGTTTTACACAGACTAAAAAGAGTCTGAACACAAATTACTTCCATGACATACATGCAATATTTTTATCTTAAGGAACTCTAATAAATTAAACATTGACATTTCTTAAAGGCATGAAGCAAATTCTGAAATTGGTGAACAGGTAGCCAAAGAGTAGAAGGTGCTCTAAGTGAATACCTGCCAGTGCCAGAAAGCCTCTCAGCACAGGCTGGAAGAAGAGACAATGTCCCCTCCCACCTGAGAACCAGGTATGTCTCCTACAGAGCTCTGTGCCCTCTCCACAGGGGCTACACAGGGTTTGGAGAACTATCAGGAGTAAAGGTATCGTGATTACTGGACCCCAAACAGAGTGAAAGGTATCTCAAAATTAGAAAAAGAAACACCTGGCTCTTCATTAGCAGACCTGCTCTATGGCTATAAAGTAGTATTTTGAGAGTTGAGTGCATGATACTCATGTAGCTACTATCAATCCTAAAAGTTCGGGCAATCTGTAGTAGGATCCAAAAATACTTTGGAAATAAAGTCGTAAATAGTGTGCCCCTTGATTTTGAATTGGTAGGTGGAGGGGCATTTAAAACTTCCCTAACTGAATTTTTAAAATTCTTAAGATTGACTCAAAAGTTGATACTTTTTTTGTAAATAGAGAATAACTTTTTTAAAGAAATTGTCCCTATGAGGAAAAACAAGATTTTTGAGGAAAGAGGGAGCAAGACAAACTTTTGGGGAAAAAAGAAAAGGTATATACAGTCACATTCCTGACTGCTTTGATGTGGGCAGTCTACAAATATTTAAGCCCTCCTGTGAACTTTAGCACAGATCTATTCATTGCAATTTGAGTTTATCATACATACAGACAACACTTATGGCGCACAGCAGAAAACTTTCCAAATATCTTTCCTGCCAGGCACACTAACATATACAAATATTTTCTCACACATTATTGTCTAAACATTGCTAATTCAAAGAACCAACAAATGTACCAACCAGGTACACTATTTTGCTCTCTATTTGGCTACTTTTGTTACTTGAAATTATATATTCTTTCTCAAGCATCCCAAACACAGAATTCTAACATCGAAATATTGTATAGGAAGATTACCACTTCATAATAAAAACAAGTCATTAGGATTGAACATAAATCCCAATAGAAATAGGAAATACCAAATTCTCAGGCAAATCCAATTTTCTGATGTGGACAGTGGCAGTCATCTACAAGAAGCACGGTATAGGGAGTTCTTTTTTAATAGTTATAAACTGGTTTCCAGTCTTAAGTTGTAAGCCAGCCAATTAGATCACTTAAAATTAGAAAGCCAATCATTGGCTAAAAGAATAATTTTGCAGATTCCATTAAGTGCATTGCTAGACACCTGAAGAATTAAAAAGCTGTCAGTTTCAGGCGACAATCAAAGAGCCTTGGGAGCCACAGGCATCAATAACACATGCGGGAACACAAAGAGCTAGCGAGTCCATGTGTTATTGGACAGTCACAGGTACTAACCTCAAGTACAAAGAAAGGGGACAGTGAAAATAAATATAGACATATATATATTTAAGTAAAATCGTTTTACTACTCTATGAAATTGCTCGTGCTTCATTGATTTTCTTTTTGTTTTGTTGTTCTCCAAGTGTTATGGCATCATAACTCCCTTATGGATCCATTTGTTACAAACATGGATGAGGATAATTGTGCCACACAACTGTCATCTGCAAGAGCGTCATTCTTCTGTGACTACGCTCTGTGGCCGCCTTTCGTGGGTGGGATTTTGCTGTAAAATCATACCCAGTGACATCTCAGACAGCAGTCACAATCCCTTCAAAGACTTTACCAGAACTAGAATGAAAAGGGGAAAAAACAACAACAAGCTCAGCTCACTGATGTTATTAGAAAGTTTGATTCCTTTTTTCATGCAAGTTTTTCAGATGGAGTAGCCTAAGGTTGAATTTATACAATTAGACTTTTTTTTCCTGCTGTCCAGTTCTCTCAATTAAGAATTTCACTTCACGTTGCAGAAGCATAACAGCGTGCACCTGGTCCCCAGTCTTGGTGCTCTGAATGGGGTTAGTGGCTGTGCTGTGAGTGCATGACCTGGCCGGCACAGGTGAACTTACAACATAGTCCCTAGCCTCAAAGGCATACGTGCGTTTCCCTATTGTCCTCTTCATGAGTTCTTTGTGAAAACAGAAAGATTGAGTCTGCCAATAACCAGCGAGAGAACAAGATAAAGTAAATAAAATTAAAGTAAGCATAAGACTTTAACATCTGACAAACAACTGGTAAGGGTTTTCAAAATCTTTTGATCAACTTTGATGGTATTTTTCCATACAATTAAAATATGGAAAAAAATGTCCATATTTTAGATATAGAAATCTCCAACGCAGGCCAGAACAGAAAATGAAATCTTAATTTAAGGTAATAAAATTACATTTTGTAGATTGCAAATTGGCAACATACTATCTAGTTTCATTTTTCTTTGATGCATGTAAATATGAAATGGTTAATGCTCTGGCAGCATCTTTAAAGATGTTCAGTCAGGGAAACAAAATTTTCTTACAAATGTCAATGGATTTTGACAAAAAATATTTCACTTTGTTTATTTATTATTTAGAAACAAATTCAGCTATGCCGAGAAATGTTTGTATAGGACTTATATACTCTGATAACAGAAACAAATTATTGAAATCTGAATCCAAAAGTTGCAAAACATGATAAATTAAAGGGCACAGGTTTGTTATTCTTTTAGGAACTTTCCTAACTAAATTATCTTTGGCATAATAGTCTTTTTAAATATATTTTTTAATTTACCTCCATTTCCTGGTGATGAGACATAATAGTCTTAAGTTAAAAAGTAGAACAAATGAAATGGTAGCAAAAACTGTATTATTTTGGTCATGGAGCCTGTAAAAACCATGCACCTTCTATGCGGAGATTGCTTAAAAGTCAAATCTATTTCTCCAAACTATAGATTTGTTTTTATGAACTTTTTTATTTTATATTGTTACTTCCTGGAGAAAAGAACAGTAAATCTCACCTTAAGTAAGAACAGATTGACCAGAAATGAAGGATATTTTTCTACCTCTTTACTAATGCTGCTAATGAGTATATGTATGTGGTTCACCCTTAGGAAAACATAATCACCATTTAGGAACTTTTTCTTAACAAAGATTTGCTGAGGACAGATTTGAGGAGTAGGAAATAAAATTCATATTGCTGGTTATGGTTAAAAAGGGGGATCTTCTCTAAATCATCAAAATAACCAGTTTCCCATCTCATGTTTTTTTAAGTGTTACATTTTTTCTGACTGTCTTTTTCTTACACTTATTGATTACTGAATTCTTTGGTCTTTTCTTAAACATTTTGAGAATATCATGAAACACAGATTCAGAAACTATTTGCAATCAACAGACTGTGCAATGTTGAGAGAAGACCAGAATAGACACATAAACAAATGCTAAACAATCATGAACATTCAACATAACTCATCATGAGCGTCCAAAAGACAAATGCAGATATTTATTATAAATATAATACATGAGTGCTTTGTAAAGGTTTTGGAAGTGGCAGAGGTGGGTTAGCTTATTTACAGTTAACATAAAACGTTACAGTCTAGAAAAAACACCCTCATCATATGTTGGAAATTCCTTGATGAACAATGAGTGGAGTTCTAAAAGCCATCATAATCAAGCTCAGAAGCTGCAGCTTCCTCAGCAAGTCCTAATAATAGAGCTCAGCACAATCCATCATCCACTTGTGAAGCTATGCTCTGCCTTCTAACAATGGTTCCTTTCACATCTTTAGGAAATTAAATTCATAATGCTTAATCTAATATGCTGGGTAGCCTTAAAACAAGATAATTCTACCAACTTTATTCTTTGCATAAAACTTTGAGATTTTCTTATTAAGGGAACTCTGCCTATAAAGAAATGTTTTGTCCCTTATTTTATTTTATTATTTTTTGAGACAGAGTCTCACTCTATTGACTGAGCTAGAGTGCCATGGCATCAGCCTAGCTCACAGCAACCTCAAATTCCTGGGCTCAAGTGATGCTTCTGCCTCAGCCTCCTGAGTAGCTGGGACTACAGGCATGCACCATTATGCCCGGCTAATTTTTTCTATATATATTTTTAGTTAGCCAATTTATTTCTATTTATAGTAGAGATGGGGGTCTCGCTCTTGCTCAGGCTGGTTCTGAACTCCTGACCTTGAGCAATCTACCTGCCTCAGCCTCCCAGAGTGCTAGGATTACAGGCGTGAGCCACCGCACCCGGCCTGTTCCTTATTTTAAAAGGTAACAGTCTATTATCATTTATAGTTATCTATTCTATATTTATATTCTTTTTCACACAAAGTACTTCTTGTAGACTCAAAGCAATATGATGGTCAGGTTAACGATGACTACCACTATTCTTTTACTGGTAACCAGTGGTTGGTTCTAAATCTGAGAAGGACACCTCTCATCAAATTAAGAAGTTATAGTTTAGAATCTCTTCCTATATCCACATATCAGCTGACACTCAAAAAGAAAAAACAAAACTCAAGAATTTGTAGTTTAGAACTAATGCTGGGCTTGCCTTTACCTACAAATGCTGTTTATTTACCCTAAAGACTGACATCCAACTCTTGCTTTAGGGCTAACTTAACTATGCGGCACTGCTTGGAAAGAAGTAACCCGACTATCAGTTGGCTGTAGATCCCAGTAAATGGGAAAAATAAAAATCATGTTTGTAAAAGAAAGCATTCCATTACAACTGTATTACAACTCCCATGGGACAGGATTTTAAAAAAACAACCTTACTGGATATGTTAATGCACTAAATACCTCTTTACTCTTGATTGCGAAATACCATTCTTCATTAGAAAGGATAGTTTGGGAGGCTTAGTCTACACTGACCACTTAGATTGATTCAGGAGGCTACAAATTACTTCACTGCAACCCAAACTAGCATCTATGTTGGATGGCTGTATCAAGTCCAGCAAGCCCTGTGTCTTAAGCACATCAATCTTAATTAGAACGTCAAATTGGAGTCTTTTTTTTTTTTTTCTTTTTTGCAGAAAGGGGCTCTGGGAAAATTGGAGTCTTAATAAGATCCACTTATGAGTCAACTATATTATAATACTTTTTCCCTGAATGTGGATGCCATAGAATCCCAGACTCTAAGAACAGACTCCCTGGCTTTAAATCCTGGCTCTATATCTTCCTAACTTCGTCTTTTTATGCTTCGATTTCCCTAGCCGTAACAAAGTAAAGAAATATTAGTGCTACCTAGGCTTTACAGGGTGGTTGAAAAACTGTGTTCTGAGCACACAGAACAGAGCAGGGCACATAATAAGTGCTCGATAAATGTTGGCCGCTTTTATTATTTCACCCTTTAAAGGGAAATACTGAATTAGGCCTTTTCCAGTCAACACATATTTTATCAACTTCTTATAGTTTCACCAAAATACGAAATGAAACCACTGTGACCATTCCCCTTTGAACCCTGAGGCATAGCTCAGGGAAGTGTTATACTCACATTGCTGCAGTAATTATTAAGCAAATACTTTTTCTGACTACACAGTCACTTCCAATTCCTCATCTCATATGTTGCTAGTTTTAGGAATGGAATCTAAGTTTCCTTTTTTTGGTAAAATCAAGGTAAAAAATTAATGACTTGGACACTTTAAAGGGGAAGTGGGGTAAAGTCCTTTCAAAATGTACCAGAGACAGAAAGAACTCTGGGCTGGCTAGCTTGCTTTCTCTTTCCTTCCATCCATCCTGCTTCCCTCTTTCTTTCTTTCTTCTTCTTTCTAGCTACAAAGAATCATAGGTTCTTATTTTTTTTTTATGTTATGAGAAAACACAATGGATTCATTCACAAACAAAATAAGTTATGCAGAACAAAACATGCCATAAAGCGCTCAAGAGAGACAGGATTCCAGAGCAGAACTTACCCCACGCTTTAGGCTCCTGAAGCAGTGGATTTTGGGTTTGGAGGTCATGAACTCGTTGAAGCGGTGGGAGAGGGGTTCCTTTTGCTGCTTGGGAGACTGGGGGCCGTTGGGAACAGCAGAGGGTGAGGCAGAGGCAGGGGGAGGAGGGGGAGGCTGATGGGGGGATGTTAAAAGGGACACAAGCTACGTGTAAGAGATGGAGCAGTGACAGAGTGAAAATCAGAAACAAGAAGACACAAAACAAAAATAAGCATCAAATAATATTTGAAATCCAAAGCAAGAAAAACACAAACAATTAAATATTTAGGCCATGGTCCAAAAGAAAACATGTAGAACATGTTAAATGAAGAATGTGATGAAAGTGGGAGGTTTAGTAAGTAATGCAACAGAACAAGAGCAAGAAATAGTTGACGAGAAGCTCATGCAGACTTTCACATGCAAACTACCACTCTAATTAGTTATTCTAAACCAGTTAAGCCAGGAGGGTAAATATTTCTAAACCACCTAAATTAATATAGCTCAATGGGAGAAAATGAAAGCCCTTAAATGCCAAGGTTATGAAAACTGCAAGACAGTCTCTTAAAATTAAGTATTAAATCATCCTAAGGTTAAAGCAGTAATGTTGCCTTGATCATATTTTATGTCCCCAGGTTAATGCTGTCATGCACCTGTTTATCACACTATGAAAAGAAAATGAAAAATGTTCATGGAAACACATGTTAACATGAATTCAAAACCAAGTTATAAACATGGTAACAATTTCAATTAGATGCACTGATATATTGTTAAGGAAATTTTGCGCCATATGCTCTCTCCCAGGCAAGGTACGCGGCAGTCTAGGAGATTTTGGGGTGATAAGCATGATGCAGAACGGCCGAGAGCTCAGTAATCTGTTAGTGTGGGTGACACGGTACGAGTGATAATGCATCTGAAATAAGACAAAGGGCCATGGCAAACATACCACCACCAAAAAGAAAGACTTTTAAGATAAAACAGCACACTAGCTTTTTTTTCCTTTCTGAAACTACAGGTTTAAGATCTTAGTTTTTTTCAAGACTAAAAGATAAAGTAAAAATCTCCACACCTTATAAAAGTCATTTCACACAGGATCCAACCATCAGTACCTTATTTTTCTTGATGAACGGCCATAACTTTCCTTTGGATTTTCCACCAAACTTGAGCTCCAGTTTGCCTTCTCCTCTAGAATTTGAAAGGCTGTTGTCTGACACAGTGCGCTTCATTGGCTGAGTGTAATCCTCAAATTCAATGTCTCCGGGAGGCTCAAACCCTGATTTATAAGCTTCTATTACCAGCTGTGAATCCTGAAATTATACCCATGGAATACAGAAATACATTCAAATGTATGCAAATACTTTTTACACAATGAATTATGATGAGCTCATACAGACGATATTTTAAGGGAACTATATTGATCAATAATAGATTTTTTTTCTAGTAACATTTTTATCATGAGAAGGATTAAGTATCATCTGTAAATCGATATCTCTAGTTAAGATTTGAAGATACTTTCAATAATCATTTTTCTACAACTGGAGAAATAAATATCATTTAAGAGCTAATTTATTAAAAGCAGAAGAATCAATGGGACTTGATTTGTGATTCCCTTGAAAAATAAAGTAATACAAAAATCTGGTTCCCATCAGAGGTTCTTAAAGCAATTCAGCACATACAAAGTCAAATCAAAGAGGAAATATTTCTCTAATTTCTTAGATCATTGTGGTTCAAAGATATTAGTTTATTGCTTATTTTTCTTTACTATATATCTGTTCAGTCTCTTCTCCACTAAAATGTAAGCTCTCATCTGTTTTTTTCTACTGTATTCCTAGTACCGAGATGGTGCTATGTGAAAACAGTACACAATAAATGCCAAATAAACCAATGAGCTGAATGCTCTATGATGTGTATTCTGTTAGGAGCTCTGGGTCCGACAGATTCCCAGGGAGCTCAGAGTCAGCTAGTAGAGATAAAAGCATACAGAAGTTATAACCATAGTGTTGTAGAGAGAGAGATTTAAAAAAAATTCAGGTTCTTACTGTGAGACTACATTTTAATTAGCCATAGCTATTTTAGCTAATACTTAATTTTTAGGTGTGCTGCAGAATGCCAATTGTTTTCCAACAACCAATTGCCCTTCCTTCTTAGTAATAAGAATGGATATTAAGTTGGGCACACTGCCACCCAGCTAAAAGGCGTTACTGTCCAGCCTTTGCACAGCAAGAGGTGACCATGTGCCTACGTTCTGACCTCTGTGTGTAGGTAGAAGCGCAGTGTACAATTTTAGAAGTCTTTAAAGTGATGGCAGGGACCCTCCTCCATACTCTGCTTTCTGGGATTTGGATATGATGGTTGGTGCTCCAGAAGCCATGTTGAACCGTGAGTTTGAAGATCACATCATCACAGAGTGGTAAAGTGGAAGGAACCTAGATGGGGCTTATGGACTGTCCATCCCTGCCACTGCTGGACCCTCTACCTCTACACATCTTTTACATGAGAAAAAAAACAACTACCTATTGTTCTTATTATATGAAGCTAAACCATATAACAGATTCAGTTCTATAATCATTATAAATGTTCCAGTGAGTACATTGATCTCACTGTAAAAACACGATAATTTGATATAAATGGAAACTAGCCTTATATAAATAAACCAGTTAGAACTTTATATTTATTTTATTTTCAGAGATGGGTTTTGCTATGTTGCCAGGCTGGATACCAATCCCTAGGCTCAAGTGATCCACCTGTCTCAGCTCCCCAAGTTGCTGGGATCATAGGAGTGAGCAACCTCACCTAGTCCATTTAAATAATTATTAAATCACCTCCTTCAAGCCTTTGCACAAATGTAACTTCCTGATCTAATGTCCCCACTCCCAACACCAGGCCATGCAGGCACTTCTTATCATCTTGTTCTGCTTTATCTTTTCCAAAATGCTCCTGTTTTCACTCTAAAGAATGTTCTCATTAATTTTAGCATTGTCTGTTTCCCCCTTTAGAATAGTGCCTGGCACTTGTGAATGAATGAGCAGATTCAAATATGTGCCCAAAACTCTTGTTTCAGAAATAAAAAGAGCAAGGTGGCAGGGCTTAGAGGAAAGAACTTGGGCTTTGGGGCCAGATGGACATATTCACTATGCGACTCTGGGCAAGGTTGTGACTGTTCTGAGTTTAGGGTTCTCCTTAGCAGGTCATGGTGAGGAGGACAGGCCTGGAACAAAGCAGGTGTTTGCTAAACACTCAGTGAACCACTTTCTAAGACAACTTTTCTCGAAATGAATTTTTTTTAGAAATAACAGCATTTAAACATGAATAGACAGAGATAAAATGGGTGCAATGAAATGAAAACTACAATAAAAATACCTAAGATCAAAGCAGCAAGACCATAATTAACTGTGCCAAGAATGGAATCTGCAAAAGAGGAGAAACTTGAAAAACCATATGAAACATAAAAGGAGTATTTGGAAAGGTGAAGGGAATATGCAAGGAAGGATGGCCCATAGGGATTAAGAAAGAACTCATCTCTGAATTCTCAAAGTTACAGCAAAATGAAACTTGTCCATTCAAGTAAAGACCCAAAGGAGATACGAGGTAAGAGTGAGCCACACAGAAACCCAGGGGAGGAGCATCCCAGACAGAGGAAGAGGATGGTGGGAGCATGCCTGCAGTTTTCAAGGAATACCAAAGTGACCACTGTGGCTGCAGCATCTGGGAGAATAGAGCAAAGATAAACAGGGGAATAGGGGGTTCCAGATGGTTTAGGGCTTTGCAGCCCCAGGTGACTTTGGCTTTTCCTTAGTGAGAAGGACACTCCGGAAGGGTTCCCAGCAGAGGAGGGACATGGCCCGACACATTTGAAAGGGCTCTCTCTGGCCTCTGCGTTAAGAAAGTATGGCGGGGGGGAGGCGGCATAAATGCAAAGGTGGGGAGACTAGTCTGATGCCTCTGCAGTGACCCCGGCTCCTCCTGCATAATCCAAGACGAAGGGGCCTTGGATCAGGAGAGTAATGGGGGCTGTGGCCAGAACTGGTTGGGTTCTGAATGCATTTTGAAGGTAGAGCCAACAGAATTGGCTGCAAACTGATATGGGTGTGAGAAAAAGGGAGGTATCAAGGATGATTCCAAGACTGAGCAGCTGGAAAGATGGCAGTGCCATCAGCTGAGGCAGTGGAGAGTGGGAGCAGAGGGTTGGGCAAGGCAGGGCAGGAGCTCCGTTTGGACATGTTCAGCCTGAGGTACCTGTCAGACTTCCACATGCAAAAGCCACCTGGTAATTGAATATATGAAGCTGCAGTGTGCGGCAGAGGTTGGGGCTGGAAACGTAGAATCTGCGAGTCAGTGTTGAGATGGGACCTAATGCTCCAAGAATCTACAGATCACCTAAAGGAGTGAAAGTGGAGAGTAAAGAAGTCTGAGATCTAAGCCCTGGAGCACCACAAAGATAAATGGAAGGAAGAAGACAAACACGCAAAGGAAATGACCCATGAGAAGAGAAAAGGCCACTGCAGTGGCTTCCTGGGAACCAAGAGAAAGAGAAGCAGGTAAGAGGATGGATAAGGGGGGCCAGTGCTATTAACAGCTAGGGTATGAGGAAGACCTAGAATGGACCCTTGCATTTAGCGCCATAATGATCATGGGCGAAGAAGAATTATCAGTGATATGATGGAAAACTAGGCTCCCATAATAGAAAGTAAAATCCTATAAATCTAGGTGGCTTATAATTTCCCAGATAAAACTGATAGAGGGAAACCATCACTCAGACATAATGCTGTGAAATTGCAAGGTTTCAAGAGAAAAGAAATTTCTAAGCTTCTAACACAAGAAATTAATATCAGCCTTCTTCAGATTTTAATCAATGCTGATTTGAAGTCAATGAAGCCAAAAGAAGTCAAGAATCACACAGAGATGACCTCATCTTTCAACACATAACTTATAAAGTCCACTATTAGTCTCTCCCTTTAGCATTTGTGCACACTGGACTGACAAAAACTTTTTACACAAATGGTCTTAAATATTGTTACACATCAAATGCTCTTGGGACAATGAAGAATCTGAACGTTAGAGGCCAGGGACACCGCTAAACATCCCACAATGCACACAACAGCTCCCCAGAATAAAGAATTATCTGGCCTAAAACGTCAAAAGTGCCCTAAAGAAACCCTGCCCTAGAGGAAACAAAGGCTTTGCCCTTTTCTAGAAATCAATCAGATCCCAAGTTGGGGAGTTACTCAGTCAAATGACAAGAAAACACTTCAATTTAATTCTGTAATGTCTTGGACAATTTACCACTTAAATGTGTTTTCCGAAAAAGGAATTAGAGAGCTAAATCCAAAACACGGAGGGCTGGCTGGGCGCGGTGGCTCACGCCTGTAATCCTACCTCTCTGGCAGGCTGAGGCGGGCAGATTGCTCAAGGTCAGGAGTTCGAAACCAGCCTGAGCAAGAGCGAGACCTCGTCTCTACTATAAATAGAAAGAAATTAATGCCAACTAATATATATATAGAAAATTAGCCAGGCATGGTGGTGCATGCCTGTAGTCCAGCTACTCGGAGGCTGAGGCAGCAGGATTGCTTGAGCCCAGGAGTTTGAGGTTGCTGTGGCTAGGCTGACTCATGGCACTACATCTAGTCCGGGCAACAATGAGACTCTGTCTCAAAAAAACAAAAAAAAACAAAAAACAAAAACAGGAGGGCTGAATCAAAGACCTCCGATGGGTGGGCCAGTATTGAAAAGTACTGTGAGCACGGAATGCACCTACCTCCCACGAGACAATTAAATGGGGCAGCATGGAGAGGGAGGGGGAGAAATAATGGAACCACAAACAGTTGTAAATTAAGCCAAACGACAATACTTACATTTTTCTCATCATGATTCAGCTGCTTTACTAATGCCGTCCAAGCATTTCCGTGATTGGATCACTGCCGATCCACCCCGCGTACGTCTTCATCGACTCCTCCGATTTTCACTATCTCTTTCTCATCTCTGTATTAATTCGATACATTAGATTTTAAATTTTGGTCACTGTCACTTAAGGAAGCTGTTTTAGGCACACATGTTACCTCTAACAAATTCTCTAGGAAAGCGGAATAGGTTAGAGCACTGAGTTATTGGCTCTATAGAGTATCACATGACCAGTGTCACTATCTTATAATCGTTAGGCTGCCAGATATACACTTTACAGTAGACGCTAACTCAATTTCAGTAAGATCCAAACTCGGTACTTTATCATTAACACTATTTGGTAGTATATTCCAAACATTTCTCCACCTTTGATCCACTTTACCTTCACCAAAACACAGTATTCAGTTAACTGTCTCAACCAGCACAGGCTGAGAAATAACTAGTGTACTTCCACTACAATTTGGAAGTTCTTGTTTGCTGTGTGTGCAGACACTAAGAAACAATATTTTTTTCTACAACCAGAGTAAAGTCAATAAAAGATTTCCCAAATGGGAGGACATGTGTATATCTCTTCTCATACCTCTTATTTATTATTTATTTTTTTTGAGACAGAGTCTCACTCTGTTGCCCAGGCTAGAGTGAGTGCCGTGGCATAGCCTAGCTCACAGCAACCTCAAACTCCTGGCTCAAGCAATCCTCTGCCCAGCCTCCCGAGTAGCTGGACTACAGGCATGCGCCACCATGCCTGCAATTTTTTTTACTTTAGTTGTATGCTAATTCTTTCTATTTTTAGTAGAGATGGGGTCTCGCTCTTGCTCAGGCTGGTCTCGAACTCCTGAGCTCAAGCAATCCTCCTGCTTCAGCCTCCCAGATTGCTAGGATTACAGGTGTGAGCCACCAACTCTCGCCTCATACGATTTTTGACAACCTAAGGAACCAACCAGAAAACCAGAAGAAAGATTGTTTTGGATTTGTTCATTTGTTCAATCCTACAACTGTATGAATGTGCTTTGACTCCGAAATTGTGTTTTATACCAGAATCATCTCTTTAGCAAAGACAGCATTAGTTGGAGAATTACAATTTAAGACTAGAAAAAAAATGGTTGCAGGTATAAGCCATGAAAGTTTTACAAAGGTCCTGATTAATTTGAGATTAATGTTATATTTCATTCTTACTGACAGTCAATGCTTGACCTAGTGCTCTAAAAAATGACTTAGTGGGCAGGTTGCAGTGGCTCATGCCTGTAATCCCAAAACTTTGGGAGAGCAGGCAGGAGGTCACTTGGAGCCAGGACTTTGACCAGCCTGGCCAAAAAAAAAAAAAAAAAGATTTAGAAGAGGCTGGGCCCCATGACACCTATAATCCCAGCTACTTGGGGCTGAGAAGAAGGGCCCTCGAAGCCAGAGGTTTAAGGCTGTTGATGATTGAGCCTGTGAATAGCCATACACTTCAACCTGGGCAACAAAGTGAGACCCAGTCTCTTAAAAAAAAAAAAAAATTAGTGGAAATTTGGAATTATATAACACTTAGATACAACCTAGAAATCTTGACTCAGAAACAATGTGTTTCTAAGGAAAACAAAACAATGAAATCTGAAAGGTTTGAATGGCTTACCTGAAAGATGTTAGGTATGTGAGTATGGTAATATTCATGCTGCTCATGGTGAATTCTGAAGAATTGACGAGTAATCAGCTTTGCTGTCCTCTGCCATTTGGTGACGTATTTGAGCTTGTTGTCGGGCCTTAGGGCAAAAATGAGAATACCCCCACATTTATACATCATAAATAAAACATTGGCATATAAATAAAAGCCTGGAACTGTACAATGGGGCCGCCTACGGGCCCAAATTTACCCAAATCATTGTATTTTGCAGATGCTATTTTTAAAAATGTTTTGTATTTGAATTTACTTAGGTAAGGAATGTATGCTAGTTTTCTCAAACCTCACCATCCTCTATTGTCTTAATGTGGCATTTGGCCAATTCACATATTTATGTTAATGGATGACCCTGTGGGAACCTCCGTTCAAATATTTATATATATATATATAATTTTTTTTGAGGAGGGAGTGGAAATCCATTCTTTCTCTCTCTCTCTTCTCTCTCTCCTCTCTCTCTCTCTCCTTCTATTCTTTCTTTCTTTTGAGATAGAGTCTCCCTCTGTTGCCCAGACTAGAGTGCGTGGCATCAGCCTAGCCACAGCAACTCAAACTCCTGGGCCTCAAGCGATCCTCCTGCCTCAGCTCACTTCAAGTAGCTGGGACTACAGGTATATCCACCATGCCTGGATAATTTTTCCTATTTTTAGTTGCTGGCTAATTTCTTTCTTTTAGTAGAGACAGATCTTGCTCTTGCTCAGGCTGGTCTCGAACTGAGCTCAAGTGATCCCTCACCTTGGCCTCCCAGATTGCTAGGATTACAGTGTGAGCCACTGCGCTTGGCCCATACTTTTAAAATCCAGTTCTCAATGGTTTCATGAACTAAGTAGACCTTCTAAAACTATACTTTAAAGAGCAGTAAGTATGGCACCCTCTTTGTGCCTTTTATGTTTGGGGGGGTGCTACTTCATGTATTGCATTGCTTTTCTCCTAAAAAGCATTAATAAAATTTACAATGTTCTCCTTCTAATCTTATCTTGGTTAATCACATACCCAAAAAAAGGGCAGAGGGGCAATTGTTGACAAGTTGCAGAATAGATTAAAGCTTCAAACAAGAATATCTGTAATCTCTAAAGTCATCCACAAATACAAGAGATTGTTACACTATTACAACCACCTTAGATTTATGTAGCAACTTTGGTAGGTCTTTTTCTTTTTTTCTTTTTTTTGAGACAGAGTCTTGCTTTGTTGCCCCAGCTGAGTGCAGTGGCATCGTCATAGCTCATTGTACCCACTCAACCTCCTGGGCTCAAGTAATCCTCCTGCCTCAGCCTCCTGAGTATCTTGGAATGACAGGTGGTGCCACAACACCAGCTACTTTTTCTATTTTTTATAAGAGACAGGGTCTCACCCTTGCTCAGGCTGGTTTGGTAGGTCTTGATAAATAAATATCTCACAAATCTCTAAACACAATCTGAGGTCCACAGTGCACAAAACTACCCATGCCATATGAAGATCAGCTTGGTCCTTAGGTGACTTGCAAACTCATTGCATGGAGCAAAGCACAAGAGGAAAAGGGCTGTGTCCAACATAACCAAGGCAACCTTTTGTTTGCTTGCTTGTTTTTGTTTTGTTTTACTGAACCAATGTTATAGAAAATTAAGACCTAATGGTGAAAGAAAGCAAGCACATAGAACACGTTCTCGTATAAACACAAGAAGATATGCTGACGTTGTTTGTCCTACTTTCTGTTCTGATGGTAACATCTAGTATGGCTTTTTTTTTTTTTTATCATCTCAACGTTCTTTATTGGCTTCCTGCCTATATGCTTGAAGACTTACCCTGATTTTCACTTTCAATTTCACCTCATATGCATATATTGGCAAAGCCCCCAAGGTGGTAATTCACAGTTGCTTCCTTTATTTTCTTCCCTATTCTTCCATGAACACTTCCAAATGAAGGTAACAATATCAGTGTCTCCAGCTACTTCCTCCATTACTGAGGTTTTTACTTTCCTTAAGGCGTTTATGTATCTCAGTATCATTTATTCACTTTTCATCTACCCTTTGGTTTATTTTAGCTGCCACATTCCTTCTCTTGTTGGCAGCCCTGTTACTCGCCTCT